TGAGAGTTTCAATTTCTCCATATCTTTGTCAACACTTAGTTTCTATTCTTTTTGATTGTATCGGCTGGGATAGGTGTGAAGTGATATCTCATTGTGGTTTTGATTTGCATATTCTGATGAATCATGATGTTGAGAATGTTCTCATGGTTTATTGGCCATTTGTATATGTCCTTATAGAAATGTTTATTCAAGTCCTTTTTTTAAAAAAATCAGGCTCTCGCTCTGTCGCCCAGGCTAGGGTTACAGCCTTGACCTCTTGGGTTCAAGCAACCCTCTCACCTCAGCCTCCCGCGTAGTATAGGCATGTGCCACCACGCCTGGGTGATGTTTTTTTTTTTTTTGGTAGAGGCTGGGTTTTGCCATGTTGCCCAGGCTAGTCTCCCACAGCCTCCCAAAGTGCTGGGATTACAGGCATGAACCACCAGCCTGGCCTATTCAAGTCCTTTGATTTGGGCTTTTATTTTATTTATTTTTAATTTTTTTTTAGTGTATTCTACTACTTTTATGACTTGGGTTTTTTAATTGGGGTGTCTTTTTTGTTGAATTGTAAAAATTCTTAATATATTCTGAATATTAAACCCTTGTCACATATGTGGTTTCCGAATATTTTCTCCCATTCTGTAGGTTTTGCAGAATATTTTTTTTTTTTTTTTTTTTTTTTTTTTGTGGGGGGTTTTTTTTTTTTTTTGAGGCGGAGTCTTGCTCACCTTGGGCTGGACTGCAGTGGCCGGATCTCAGCTCACTGCAAGCTCCGCCTCCCGGGTTTCGCCATTCTCTCTACCTCAGCCTCCCGAGTAGCTGGGACTACAGGCGCCTGCCACCTCGCCAGCTAGTTTTTTGTATTTTTAGTAGAGAGGGGTTTCACCGTGTTAGCCAGGATGGTCTCGATCTCCTGACCTCGTGATCCGCCCGTCTGGCCTCCCAAAGTGCTGGGATTACAGGCTTGAGCCACGCGCCCGGCCTTTTTTTTTTTTTTTTTTCCACCGCGCCCGGCCTTTTTTTTTTTTTGAGATGGAGTTTCACTCTTGTTGCCCAGGCTGGAGTTCAGTGGCACCATCCTGGCTCATCGCAACCTCTGCCTTCCAGGTTCAAGCGATTCTCCTGCTTCAGCTTCCTGAGCAGCTGCGATTACAGGCATGCGCCACCATGGCTGGCTAATTTTGTGTTTTTAGTAGAGTCAGGGTTTCTCCATGTTGGTTAGGTTGGTCTTGAACTCCCAGCCTCAGGTGATCCACCCACCTTGGCCTCCCAAAGTGCTGGGATTACAGGCTGAGCCACCATGCCAGGCTACAGAATAATTTTAATTAAATCAATTTTATCTGGTTTTTTTTTTGTTTGTTTCTTGTGCTTTTGGTGTCATGTCTAAGAATACATTGCTAAATCCTGGGTCATGAAGATTTACCCTGTTTTTCTTAGAGTGTTGTGCTTTTTGCTCTTATATTTAAGTTGGTCCATTTTGGGGTCATTTTTGTATATAGAGTGTGGTAGGGTCCAACTTTATTCTTTTGCATGTGGAAATTTCATTGTACCTTCACCATTTTTATAGAGACTGTTGTTTCCTTATTTAATGGACTTGGGACCCTTGTCAGAACCAACTGGCCATAGATTTATGGGTTTATTTCTGAACTCTCAATTCTGTTTTATTGGTCTGTGTGTATCTTTATGCCGTATGACACTGTTTTGATTGTTGTAGCTTTGTGGTAAGTTTTGAAATTGAGAAGTGTGAGTTCCTCCAAGTTTGTTCTTTTTCAAGAGTTTGGCTTTTGGGCACTTTGCAATCTCATCTGAGTTTGAGGATTGGCTTTTCCATTTCTGCAGAAGTGACCATTGGAGTTTCGGGATTCCAAATTTGGGAAATAGGGATTGCATTGAATCTGTAGCTCACTTTGGAGAATATTGACAGCTCAACAATATTAGGTCTTCCTATGTATGAACATAGATGTCTTTCCATTTATTTAGGTCTGTTAAATTCTTTGAGCAGTTTTGTTTTTGTTTTTGTTTAGACAGGATTTGGCTGTGTCACCCAGGCTTGAGTGCAGTAGTGCTATCACCGGTCACTGCAGCCCTGACTCCCCGGGCTCAAGCCATCCTCTTGCCTCAGTCTCTGGAGCAGCTGGGACTACAGGCAAATGCTGCCGTGCCTGGATATTTATTTTGCATTTTTAGTAGACGCAGAGTTTTTCCATGTTGCCTAGGCTGGCCCAGAACCCTTGGGCTCAAGTGATCCCCTGCTGAGGCCTCCCAAAGTGCTGGGATTGCAGGTGTTAGCCTGGCCTTGAGCACCGTTTTATAATTTAAACATACAAGTATTTCACCACCTTGTTTACATTTATTCCCAGGCATTTTTTCTTTTAGATGCGATTGTAAATGGAATTGCTTTCTTAACTTCCTTTTCTGAGTGTTCGTTGCTGGTACAGTAGTCCCTTCTTATCCACAGTATTGTCTTATGTAGTTTTACTTACCTGCGTCACCCATGGGCCAAAAATATTGAATGAGGCCGGGCGTGGTGGCTCACGCCTGTAATCCCAGCACTTTGGGAGGCTGAGGCGGGCGGATCACGAGGTCAGGAGATCTAGACCATCCTGGCTAACATGGTGAAACCCCGTTTCTACTAAAAATACAAAAAAAAATTAGCTGCGCGAGGTGGCGGGCGCCTGTAGTCCCAGCTACTCTGGAGGTTGAGGCAGGAGAATGGCGTGAACCCGGGAGGCGGAGCTTGCAGTGAGCCGAGATTGCGCCACTGCACTCCAGCCTGGGCGACAGAGCGAGACTGCATCTCAAAAAAAAATATATATATATATATATATTGAATGGAAGATTATATAAACATTTCACAAGTTTTAAATTGCAAATAGTTCTGAATAATATGATAAAATTTCACAGCCTGCTGCGTCCTACCCAGGACACGAATCATCCCTTTGTCCAACATATTCACGCTGTATGTGCTCCCCACCCGCTAATTACATACTAGCCATCTCAGTTATCAGATCAACTGTTGGAGTATTGCAGTGCCTGTGTTCAGGTAACCCTTATACTATTTAAAATGGCACCAAAGAGCAAGAGTAGCAATGCTGGCAATTCACATATGCCGGAGAGAAACCATACAGTTCTTCCTTTAAGTGAAAAGGTGAGTTTTTGACTTAGGAAAGAAAAAAGATCATGTACTGGGGTTGCTAAGATCTATGGTAAGAACAAATCTTTTGTCCATGAAATTGTGAAGAAGGAAAAAGAAATTCGTGCTAGTTTTGTTGTGACACCCCAAACTGCAAAAGTTACAGCCACAGTGTGTGGTAAGTGCTTAGTTAAGATGGACAAGACATTAAATTTGTGGGTGGAGGACACAAACAGGAAACATGTTTCGATTGATGGCAACCTGGTTTGGTACTATTCATCGTTTTGGACATTCACTGGGGTCTTGGAATTTCAAAAATAAGATGTTTGAGTAGCTGTATACTCTTTATCACATGGATGGAACATAATCTGGTTGTATCAGCATTTTTTTTTTTTTTTTGAAATGGAGTCATTCCGTTGCCCAGGCTGGAGTTCAGTGGTGCGATCTTGGCCCACTGCAGCCTCTGCCTTCTGGGTTCAAGTGATTATTGGCTTCAGCCTCCTGAGCAGCGGGAATTATAGGTGTGTGCCACCATACCCAGCTAATTTTCGTATTTTTAGTAGAAATGAGGTTTCTGCATGTTGGCCAGGCTGGTCTCGAACTCTTGTCTTCAAGTGATCCGCCTGCCTCAGTCTCCCAATGTACTGGGATTACAGGTGTGAGCCACCGCACCCAGGCTGGTGTGTATCAGCATTTTGAACTTTGGAGTTTATGTAACCAAGGAACCAGTCTGTGGACCTTGTTTATTACTTGAAGAATTCAATGTTTATTTCTGCTTTTTTGAATACTTGACTGTAAAATACTGATCTGATCTGTAGGGAGAACAGTACATGGACCAGGGAATCCTCAGTGCCTTAATAGGTCCTAAGTACTTACTTATTCTTTCCCATAGAGATTTACACATGGTAGGAGAAGAGATTTCTGGAATACCTTTCCTCCCCCGAGAAAGCTGGTTTCTTTTGTTTGTTAAGTGAGAGAGTGGTACCACAGGGTTTCCAAGATTTCCAAGGCTGATGAAAATTCTTAACTTCTGTTGTCTGTCTGTCTGTCTTGAATTTATTTTTTTTGTGTATGTATTTATTATTTAGAGACAGGTTCTCCCTGTGTCACCCAGGCTGGAGTGCAGTGTCACAGTCATAACTCACAGCAGAGTTAATCTCCTGGGCTCAAGTGATTCTCCTGTCTTGGCTTTCTGAGTAGCTAGGAACACAGGCATACTCCACTATGCCCGGCTGTTTTTTTCCCCCTGGAGACAGGATTTCATTGTGTTGCACAGGCTGGTTTCAAACTCTTGGCCTCAAAGCAGGTCTCCCACCTTGGTCTCTGAAAGTGTTAGAATTAAATAGAATTAAAGTTGTGACCAACTGCACCCAGCTTATTTATCATTGGTAGTATTTTTTTTTTGGAGATGGGGTCTTGATCTGTCGCCCAGGCTGGAGTGCAGTGGTACGATCTCAGCTCACTGCAACCTCTGGCTCACTGCAACCTCCGTCTACTGGGTTCAACTGATTCTTGTGCCTCAGCCTCCCGAGTAGCTGGGAGGCATCCGCCATCATGCCTGGCTAATTTTTGTATTTTTGTAGAGATGGGGTTTCACCATGTTGGCCACGCTAGTCTCAAACTCCCGAGCTCAGATGATCTGCCCATTTCAGCCTCCCAAAGTGCTGGGGTTATAGGCATGAGCCACCGCATCCAGCTCTATTTTTTGTTTTATGATAGGAAATTATAAAACATGGAATTACGCATTTTTCAGGCTTTTTAAAAAACTTTTAAATGAATGAAAACGGCATATCTGAACATAAACTTAGGACAAATTTTTACTACTTTTGAAAAAATGTTGGAAAATATTTCTGTATGAAAAGTAAAACAATTTTCAATATTTTTTTAGAAGTCAATGAAAGGATTCTATTTTGCAAAGCTGTATTATGAAGCTAAAGAATATGATCTTGCTAAAAAGTAAGTACAAACTGTAATATGTATTCGTTTTTTTAAAAATCAATGCCTTTTCTCATTTTCTTTGAAATAGGTAAAAATATGTTCTTTAGTAGTTCTTCCTAACTGTATTCTGAAATAAGGGATTTATCACTCAGACTGATGCTAAGGACCAACCTAGATTCCATTGAGATTGAAACTGTAATTAGTGTTTTCTGCATGCTGCTGTTTGTTTATACCAAGGGCAAGAAATTGTTTGTCTTAAAACACTTTTTCTAAAAATTGTCTTGTGTTAGAGTAAAAGAGGACCATGCGTATATCTTAATTTATTTTTGGTTAGATATCCGATACCTTAATCAGATGGGAAATAGCAGTGAATAAAAATTAAACTGTAATTGCAAGACAGGAGAATAGCTCGTATAAAAGATCTTTAACTGACACAATATGTGATGCTCTGAGGCTCTATCCTAGGGATAAGAAGCTTGGTGATTCTGATTTCCTGACTTGGAGTGGATTAAATCAGGAAATGAAGAGGGAGGCAGGCTTTTCTTTTTTTTTTTTTTTTTTTTGTGGCAGTATCTGTCTTTCTTGCCCAGACTGGAGTGCAGCGGCTGGCTCCATCTTGGCTCACTGTAACCTCTGACTTCCGGGCTCAAGAGATCTTCCCACCTCAGCACCCCAAGTAGCTGGGGATACAGATGTGCACCACCACACCTAGCTAAGATTTGCATATTTTGGTAGAGACAGGTTTCACTGTGTTGCCCAGGCTGATCTTGAACTTCTGAGCACAGAAGTCTGCCTGCCTCAGCCTCCTGTAGTGTTGGGACTACAGGTGTGTGTTATTGCTCCCAGCCGGGAGGCAGGCTTTTAAAGGCATTCCTGGTAAGAAAGGAAAAATGGTGGTACATAAGTTATGTAACTAGCAGCACTGTGACTGTTAACCCTTGTACCTTTTTACTGTAAGACTTTGCTCCCTTAGTTTAGGTCTGGCTTAATTTCTCTGATCGTAATACTGTCAAGGAACCTAGAGGATATTTACTTATTTTAGTTGTTACTTGATTTGAGAAATGGAAATTTCCTGTATTTGGTACTATAATTAGTAATTTTTCTTCTGTTCGATTTTAGCTGGATATAGTACTGTTAGAAATTACTTTCTCACTTAAAGGGTAAATATATTTCCCTTTGTTGTTTGGGAAGTTGTTGCTCTTTAGTATTTTGCATTATGATAACTTTAAAAATGTTTACTGTAATTACTTTTCTAATTTATTTGCAAAACTGTTAGTGCTTTACTAAAATGTGATCAGAAAGAAAAAGCAATTTATATGTTCCTTTCTTATATGTGGATAACACTGGAGAAAAATTTGGTAATTGTGACATTTGATGGTAAAATGAGTATGTGGTCAACTCTGTGTACGTGTTTTTAAGTATTACCCATTTCTTTCTATGAATACTTTTGAGTTATCTGCATAAATAGTGGTAGTCTTGAGTAACAATATATAACAAGTTTAGTGGTTGCTTTGGTTTAAGATGTATTCTTCAGTTAGCATTTAAAAGTACAGTTCTAAGTTTAATTTACTTTTGTATTTTGAAAAACAGATACATATGTACTTATATAAATGTGCAAGAGAGAGATCCCAAAGCTCACAGATTTCTGGGTCTTCTTTATGAATTGGAAGAAAACACAGACAAAGCTGTTGAATGTTACAGGGTAAGTTATAGGATTCAAATATAGCCTTTGCATAGCCAAACACATGATGCCAAGACAAATTTATATGAGTAAGTCAAATATATTTTATGAATATGATAAAATAGGCATTGGTATCACAGTACCATTATGCGACACAGCTTGGAACAGATTTAGAATTGTTTAACACCTGTAAATTGTAAGTCTAACGGTCAGACACGGTGTTCTTTTGTGTTTTTTGCATTCAAATGATACAGATATAATTTTTATTTGATTAATTTCCAGAAAATTCCAAGGCACTTTAACACCTTTGAAGTAACACGTTTTCTCTAGAAGTAGAATTTTTTAATGGTTGGAGTGATAATTTTTTAACCTTTATATATGAGTATATATACTCCTACATACATACATACAATTTACTAATCTTTAATTTCTTTTCTGATATTAGCGTTCAGTGGAATTAAACCCAACACAAAAAGATCTTGTGTTGAAGATTGCAGAATTGCTTTGTAAAAATGATGTTACTGATGGAAGAGCAAAATACTGGGTTGAAAGAGCAGCTAAACTTTTCCCAGGAAGTCCTGCAATTTATAAACTAAAGGTAAAAAAACAAAACGTAAAGGGAGAAAACTTGAGACATAACCATTTCTAATATTTGGAGTTTAAATTACTTTTCAGTAGCAAACCTTAAGCCTAGGTGTTTGTGTTTCCTTTAAAATTTTTCTTTAAAAAGTGTATTAAAACCTTTCTGAGTAACTGCTGTCTTATTAGGCATTCTTATACTTTATAAGTGACATTTACCCTTCTGGGATAATTAATATTTTAGGGATTTTACAGTTTAGTAGCTGTAAATTAAGTAGAGCTAAGATTTACATTAAAGAATTTGGTGTACAATTTTTGCTTCATTAAGTGAAAATTACCTACAGGATGACAGTTTAGGGATATTTTAAAGAACAGTTTTCTGATAACTATTGTCTGAAAGTAGAAGGGATTATATTTTGAGATAGTAAGGTTTTCAAGCAAAAGATAAAGGTGGTTTGTCTGTAAGACGTAATTACTAAAAATGAGAGGTAGTTCTTGCCAGTGTGTTGACTGGTTCTGATATTCTTTATAGAGTAAACAATTACTTAGTAAACTAACTGTTCTGGAGAAAATCTACACAAATATGTTTGGCAAACATTTAAAATGTATATTGTAATGTTTATTAATGTATATTTTATTGTGCATGTACAATATTAAATTATAAATGTATATTTGCCTTTAGCAGCCTCCTACTCCCATTATATGTTTCTGATAGAAATTTAAAAAATTTTAATTTTGAAATAATTATAGATTTTTTTGCACAAGAAGTTGCAAAGATTGTACAGAAAGATCCTGTATACTGCTTCATTTTTCCCCAATGCTTATACAGGTTGAGCATTCCAAATCCGAAATCCTAAATGCTCCAAAATCTGAAATTTTTTGAGCACTGACCTGATGCTCAAAGGAAATGCTCATTGGAACATTTTGGATGTCAGATTTTCAAATCTGGGATGCTCTACCTGCTAAGTATCCTGCAAATATTCCAAAGTCTGAAAAAATTCAAAATCTGAAATACTTCTGGTCCCAAGCATTTTGGATAAGGGATACTCAACCTGTTTTACCTGACCAAGCACAATATCAAAATCAGGAATTTTGACATTGGCACAATGTGTGTGTATAGTTTTCTTTCATTTTATCACATGTGTAGATTCATACCACCACTGCCGTCAAAATACAGAACTACTCTATTACCACAGAGATATTCCTCATGCTACCCCTTTTGTAGTCATGCTACTTCCTTTTCTTCACTATGCCTAACCTCTGGCAACCATTAATCTGTTCTCCATCTTTATACTTTTGTGATTTCAAAATGTTATGTAAATGTCATCATGAAGCATGTGACTTTTTTTCTTTTTTCTTTTTTTTTTGAGATGGAGTCTCGCTCTGTTGCCCAGGTTGGAGTTCAGTAGCGCAATCTTGGCTCACTGCAACCTCCGCCTCCCAGGTTCAAGCTATTCTGCCTCAGCCTCCCTCGTAGCTGGGACTATGGGCACACATTACCATGCCCCGCTAAGTTTTGTATTTTTAGTAGAAACAGGGTTTCACCATGTTGGCCTGGCTGGTCTCGAACTCCTGACCTCAAGTGATCTGCCCACCCCAGCCTCCCAAAGTGCTGGGATTACAGGCGTGAGCCACCGTGCCGGGCAAGCATGTGACCTTTTGAGGTTGGCTTGTTCACTCAGCATAATACAATTTGTGATTCATCTAAGTTTTGTATATCCATAGTTGGTTTGTTTACTTCTGAGTAGTATTTCATGGTCCACAATTTAACCAGTCACTGTTTGTTTGTTTTTTTCTTCTTTTTTGAGACAGAGTCTTGCTCTGTCTGTCGCCCATGCTGGAGTGCAGTGGTACTATCTCGGCTCACTGCAACTTCTGCCTCCCGGGTTCTCAGGTGATCCACCCACCTCAGCCTCCCAAAGTGCTGGGATTACAGGTGTGAGCCACGGCGCCCAACCTTAACCATTCACTTTTGAGGGGCATTTTGGTTATTTCTAGGTTTTGGCTATTGTTCAACTGCTATGAACAATCATGTACAGATTTTTGAAGCTGAAAAAGCATTGAAAATGCTTCCAGAGATACGTATTACTGACAAGTTAAGTTTTTCTCCCCAGTAGTAAGCTGCTGGATTTTAAATATTAGTCTAAAACGTTAGCTCTAATTGTGCAGATTTCTTTACTATATTCTTTAGGTGTTATGCCTCAAACATAATTCCCATGTTGGGCGTGGCAATCCAGTTAATTTGGTGTCAGTAGTGTTAAAGAACATACATAATGGTAGGGGATTCTTTTCTTGCAGTGTAACAAGTTAGATACTTTGAAGCATTCTTTAAAGACTTTCTTTAATAACTTGAAGGCACTGTTACACCTTTCCTGTGTCAGATTTTTTTTTTTTTTGGAATTCAAATCCATAAGATTTATAACTCATGCAAAGCAAATCCGTTTCTCCTAAAATTTAAGGCTTGCTAAGGTAAACAATTTCTGACATTTGTTTAATGAATGAGAGTATTACTGTTGAGAAGGCTTTTTCTCTCGAGTATGAGATAGAACTTTTTAAAAGCACTCAGTGGTTTAAAAAATTTTTTTTAACATAGAGTCAAAGACTAGGGCTTTTGCAGATAGGGAGAGGCCAGGGTATCATCCATCTCATCCGGAAGAGGAGAAATTGATAAAGGAGAGAGGGGAATGAAATACAGACTACAAATGGGTGGCTTGGTCTTTGATAGCAGAGAGAGTTGGGGGAAGATGAGTTTAAGTAGGTAAAGTAAAATGGAATTTATATGTGATAGCATCAGGTTTCTCAGTGAGGGTCGAATCTAGGTTATAAGTTGAAAGTGAGAGTCAAAGGAGAAGGTATGGGAAAGTTGAGGAAATAGGAGGTGTGAAGTGTCAGGGAGTGGAGAAAGTGAACTGTTAGTACTAAAATGGTATTTTGTTCTAGGCAGGACCAGTTTGAGGGTTGAGATAATGAAAATGAAATCAGTTAGCCTGGGATTGTGATTTCCCAAATCTAAGCACGCAGAAACCAATTGGGAGGGTTCTTCTGAGGATAAGAGGGAATTAGTTGAAGGGATCTGTAAGCAAACAGCAATTATGGATATAAGGGATTATAGCATTTTTTTGCCTGACAGAAGAAAGTGTGTGTATTTGTATGTGTTTACAGGTGTTTAAAACTTGATGATGTCATTATCCTGAAGGGAACTTGTCATGTGGTGGAGAAGTATATTTCTGGCAGTAAGGTTATATAGGCTCCCAGTGAGGTGGAAGAGTAAGAAGGATGGTATACTGGTTTCAGTGGTATGACCAAAATACAGATTTTGAAAACTGTGTCAGTGGCAAGTGGATGGTTGAGGTTGGAGTGGAGGACAACATCACTGGAGATGAGGTGATTAAAGAACTGAGTAGTCAGCCTGGGCAACACGGCAAGACCCTATCTCTACAGAACATTAAAAAAAATTTAGCCAGGCATGGTGGTGCATGCCTGTGGTCCTAGCTTCTTGAGAGGCTGATGTGAGAGCATTGCAAATGAGAAGTGAGTGGCCACAAACCCTGCTTCCTGTCCTTGTCATCATGGCAGTGGGGGTTATCCTGAGATGACACTCTCTTCATTTAAGGTCAGGAGGTGATGACAGTGCTTTGAGATGATGATGAAGGTAACAGAACAGTGGGAGGAGAGGGGATGCGGGATTGAGTCAGATTTGAGGAGATACAGAGCAGTTTGAAGGTAAGAGCTTTGTTGCCGAGGATTCACTGGGGACGTCTAGGCTTCTGGTGGTGACTCAGATGGACAGGGATGTGTGGCAATAGTCCTGGTAGTCTCTTTGAGGAGAGTATGAGCTACTGCAGTAATCATAGATGCTTTTCTTCACATACAGTTCTTGAGGGTTAGTTTCTAGGTTGTAAGCAACTCTCAGAAGGGATGAATAAGGCTTATAGGATGGTGTTTTTGGTGGCATCATCATAAAGCTAGACATAGTGGAATGGTGCTCTTTGGGAGCATGACTTGTTTAAAATTGCATAAGTGTTACTCTAATGATTTTTTTCCCCTCTAAATAGGAACAGCTTCTAGATTGTGAAGGTGAAGATGGATGGAATAAACTTTTTGACTTGATTCAGTCAGAACTTTATGTAAGACCTGATGACGTCCATGTGAACATCCGGCTAGTGGAGTTGTATCGCTCAAATAAAAGGTTGAAGGATGCTGTGGCCCACTGCCATGAGGCAGAGAGGAACATAGCTTTGCGTTCACGTTTAGAATGGAATTCATGTGTTGTACAGACCCTTAAGGTAGGTAAAAGCTATTGGGTCTTTACATTTCTATGTAGAAATTAGCATATTTCTTTTTGTACTAAAGCAGCAGTGCCCCTCGAGACTTACATTTCTTTTATTTATGTAGAACAATTATAAAATGAAATTTTTTACTAGGATCAGTTAAATTTATAATGGGAAGATTGGGGAGATAACTGTGATGAATGTATATATTTTTGGTGTTTTCATTTATAAGGTTGATGTAAAAATCCATATAGTTTCACAAACATGGAGTGAGAAAAGGAATTTGTAGGCATAAAATGGTTAATTTCTTAACATTTGATTAAGTTTTGTAACGTACTGTTCATTCCACAAAATAGGAATATCTGGAGTCTTTAGAGTGTTTGGAATCTGATAAAAGTGACTGGCGAGCAACCAATACAGACTTACTGCTGGCCTATGCTAATCTCACACTTCTTACGCTTTCCACTAGAGATGTGCAGGAAAGTAGAGAATTACTGGAAAGGTACGTTGACTTTGACGAGAACACTTTAGTATAAATTCAGTTTTTCTTTTTACAGTAAGTTCATTGCTCTAAACTTCTTTACTGAATCGTTATTTCTATAATGTACCTAGGAGTTATAGTTAATACAGTGAACCACTAGGAGGCAATCTTATTTTTCTTCTTTTATGGAGAAGTTCTAATTGGTTTTATATGACTTTGCTTTTTAGAGAATTCTTACAGTTCAAGCTTGATTAAAATTAGCCTTATGGTTACTCAGTTTTGTCGTAGTCAAACTTAAAATGAATGTTCTAACTGCTATTTCATATTTTATTTTTTATAATGATAGAATCTTGAGTGAAAAAGTTCATCTGTCATCAGATGGCTAGGTTCATATGTACTTAGCATCACTAGTATTTCAGAAAATACTGTTTTAGCTAAGAAACAAAATGACTCAACTATGTGATTTTTCTTTTTTCTTAAATTTTGATTTTGAGAACCAGTGTCTCCATTTTGAAAATAAATTCCATTGGACAAAAACATCACTTGGATTTATATAAAGATACTAGTTTAGAGCAGGAGTTGATTAGAACTTGTGGGCCAAATATGGCCCCTGCCTAATTTTGTTAATAAAGTTTTATTGGAATACAGCATGCCTCTGGTTATGTAATTGTCTGTGGCTGCTTACATACTATAGGGTTGGAGTTGAGTGGTTGCAGCAGAGATTGTATGCCTGTAAAGCCAGATTAGTATCTCCTCTTTATAGAAAAAGTTTACTGATTGCTAGTTTAGGCTGTCCATTTGTTTGGAAGTTATTTCCCCATCTGGTATAAAGAAAGAAACTCATTTCATTGAGTGCAGGGAGTAGGTAATTTTCTTGAAAAAGTACATAATGTCCTAAATTGGTAGGGTAAGACCAGTATCTGAAAGAAATAAGATTATTTTAGAAAACATGTAGGATGTTTTAGTTTGTATTCCTTGTGTACTCAATTTTTTGGTCACAAGTTCCTTTTACGTTTTTCTTAAGGACATCAAAGATCTTTGTATGTGGGTTATTTTCTTTTCCTCCTGTCCCCTCCCCTTTCCTTCCCCCTCCTCCCATCCCTCCCCCCTCCTACCTTCCCTTCCCACCTTCCCTCCCTGCTTCCCATCCCTCCTTACTCCCCACCCCTCCCGTCCCCTCTCGTCTCTGGTTTTTAGTTGGAGTCTTGCTCTGTTGCCAGGCTGGAGTGCAGTGGTGCGACCTTGGCTCACTGTAACCTCCGCCTCCCGGGTTCAGGTGATTCTTCTGCCTCAGTCTCCCAAGTAGCTGGGACCACAGGCGTGCACCACCACGCCCAGCTAATTTTTGTATTTTTAGTAGAGACAGCGTTCAGGGTGGTCTCAATCTCTTTTTTTTTTTTTGAGACTGAGTGTCACTCTCGTGAGGCTGGCATGCACTGGCGCAATCTCGGCTCACTGCAGCCTCTGCCTCCTGGGTTCAAGTGATTCTCTTGTCTCAGCCTCCTGAGTAGGTGGGACTACAGGAGCCCACCACCGCACCTAGTTATTTTTTTTTTTTTTGAGACAGAGTCTCGCTCTGTCGCCCAGGCTGGAGTGCAGTGGCGCAATCTCGGCTCACTGCAAGCTCTGCCTCCTGGGTTCACGCCATTCTGCCTCAGCCTCCTGAGTAGGTGGGACTACAGGCGCCTGCCACAACACCAGGCTAATTTTTTATGTTTTTAGTAGAGATGGAATTTCACCCTGTCATCCAGGATGGTTTCAATCTCCTGACCTTGTGATCTGCCCTCCTTGGCCTCCCAAAGTACTGGGATTACAGGCGTGAGCCACCGCATCCGGCCCACACCTGGCTAATTTTTGTATTTTTAGTAGAGATGGGGTTTCATCGTGTTGGCCAGGATGGTCTCGATCTTTTTTTTTTTTTTTGAGATGGAGTCTCACTCTGTCGCCCAGGCTGGAGTGCAGTGGAGCCATCTCGGCTCACCACCAGCTCCACCTCTAGGGTTCACGCCGTTCTCCTGCCTCAGCCTCACGAGTAGCTGGGACTACAGGCACCCGCCACCACACTCAGCTAATTTTTTGTCTTTTTAGTAGAGACGGGGTTTCACCGTGTTAGCCAGGATGGTCTCGATCTCCTGACCTTGTGATCCGCCCGCCTCGGCCTCCCAAAGTGCTGGGATTACAGTCGTGAGCCACCGTGACTGGCCAGTCTCGATCTCTTGACCTCCTGATCCGCCCACTTTGGCCTCCCAAAGTACTGGGAAGTCTCAATCTCTTGACCTTGTGATCCGCCTGCGTTGGCCTCCCAAGGTGCTGGGATTACAGGCCTAAGCCACTGCTCCTTGCCGTATGTGGGTTATTTCTATTAGTGTTTATTACATTAGAAATTAAAGAAAAAATATGTAATCTATTAAAAATGTAATAAGCCCATTGCATGTTAATGATAATAGCTTTTTTTTTTTGAGACAGTTTTGCTCTTGTTGCCCAGGCTAGAGTGCAATGGTGTGATCTCGGATCACTGAAATCTCTGCTTTCCAGGTTCAAGCGATTCTCCTGCCTCAGCCTCCCAAGTAGCTGGGACTACAGGTGCCCACCACCATGCCCAGCTAATTTTTTGTATTTTTGGTAGAGACGGGGTTTCACCATGTTGGCCAGGCTGGTCTTGAACTCCTGACCTCAGGTGATCCACCTGCCTCGGCCTCCCAAAGTGCTGGTATTACACGTGTGAGCCGCTGTGCCAGACCAATAATAGCATTTTTTATGAAAAATAATTATTTTGCAACAACAAAAAAGTCAGAAAAGTGTCATTGTTTTTTCATTTTTGTAAATCTTTTTAATGTCTCACTTAATAGAACATGGCTAGATTCTCATTTGCTTCCTCTTTCAGTCTGTAAAACTATATTACATGTCATGAAGCCTCTGGAAAACTCAGCTCAGCCGAGTGGGGTGGCTCAGGCCTGTAATCCCAGCACTTTGGGAGGCCGAGGTGGGCAGAAAAACAAAAACAAAACAAAACAAAAAACAACTCAGCTCTACATACATGAGAAAATGAGAATGTAAAATATAAAATTTTTTGGTATTATTGTAAAAGTAATTTTAACCTCATGGATCCCCTGAAGGGGTTTTTAAGAACCCTCAGAGATCTTTAGACCTCAGTTGCTCTGGTTGCTTTATTGTAAGCTACTTTAAAATCATGCTTCACGTTTAAGTGTTTGCTTTTACTTTTCTTCCAAAGTGAAGATTTGGAGAAACATTAGGATTTAGAAGAACTAATTTAGAATATAGATTACAAATAATAGGCCAGGCGCAGTGGCTCATACTTGTAATCCCAGCACGTTGGTAAGCTGAGGCAGGGGGATCATGAGGTCAGGAGTTCCAGACCAGCCTGGCCAACATAGTGAAACCCCATCTCTTCTAAAAATATAAAAAAAGTTTAGCTGGACATGGTGGCAGGCGCCTGTAGTCCCAGCTACTCAGGAGGCTGAGGCAGGAGAATCACTTGAACCTGGGAGGTGGAGATCGTTGCATTGCACTCCAGCTCGGGTGATAGTGAGAGACTCCGTCTCAAAAAAAAAAAAAAAAAAAAGACAATTTAACTCTGTAATTTATATAGTAAAAAGAGCAATTACTGTATTGTTACTCAAATATGTGTCAGTTATTTACTTATAATTTGGAAATGGTATGTCTAATTTGAGAAATTACGACTGTTAATTAACTAATGAAACTATATGATCAGGAAGAAACTACAAAATAGTCTCCCAACTTTTTCCTGGTTTATTTTGAAATGTGCACCTATAATCACTAATCTTATATTTATCCTGTGATTGAAGGACTGGAAGTAACTGGGAATAAGACATCATTTGAGAGGTTAAGCTTGAAGTATAGGAAGTATGCAGGATAAAAATAAGCATTAGATGATTCATAACTTACAACATGGGGAATAAGAATTACTAGAAGCTGAGTGTGGAAGATGAAGCTTGAAATAAAATTTTTATTTTGTTTTGAATTAAATAAACCATGATTATTCACAGTGCAGTAAGTGGATTATCTGTTTGATATTTTCATATTACAGTTTTGATAGTGCTCTTCAGTCCGTGAAATCTTCTTTGGGTGGAAATGATGAACTGTCAGCTACTTTCTTAGAAATGAGAGGACATTTCTACATGCATGCTGGTTCTCTGCTTTTGAAGATGGGTCAGCATAGTGATGTTCAATGGCGAGCTCTTTCTGAGCTGGCTGCATTGTGCTATCTCATAGCATTTCAGGTAAGTCTTCCATTTGTAGGAGCAATTGACATTTCACTGAGTCTTGATGTGTTTTAAATGAAGGTGTGCTCTGGTATGTAATGACAATATGTGAATAAACCTGTGGAATTAAAGTTAAAATGAAATAGTCAATTTGATACAGTGGAAAATAACTAAGCGTACACAATAGTGGTGAGGCTGGTGAAACAGGGATGTTGAATGCACTGCTGTTGAAAGCCTGCATTGCTATGATTTGTTTGTAAACAAATTTGAATAGTTTGATCTTATTACTCTGCCATTTTTGGGAACATGATAAAGATGTAATCCCACTTTATGGGTAAAGCTTGATCCAAAAAGATGTGTGACTTGGACAGAATCCTAATAAGTACATGTAGGGCAATGGCTTTATAACCTATGAAAGAAGAATATGATTGCATTTAACATGTCAATTGAAAAACATGTATATAACATTTATGACTGTGTTGTGTATATGTAACAATATATTAATCTTTGAACACATAAAGCCTTTTCTTACTCTTTATTTATTTTTTTGAGACCAAGTCTCTCTCTCACCAGGCTGGAGTGCAGTGGCCTGATCTCGGCTCACTGCAACCTCCACCTCCTGGGTTCACGCCATTCTCCTGCCTTAGCCTCCCAAGTAGCTGGGACTACAGGCGCGTGCCACCACGCCCAGCTAATGTTTTGCATTTTTAATAGAGATGGGATTTCACCATGTTGGCCAGGATGGTCTCAACCTCTTGACCTCATGATCTTCCTGCCTTGGTCTCCCAAAGTGCAGGGATTACAGGCGTGAGCCACTGCGCCCGGCCTTTTTTTTTTTTTTTTTAAATGAGCTTGCATTACTTTTGAAAGGAAAAGAAATAAGCAGTCTCCCCAAAAAAGCATTAAACCAGGCTTAGAAAAATGATTGTTAATTTTAGAGAAGGATTTTTTGTCTGGGGAGGGAAAATAAAGGATTCATTACTTTTAGAGAAGGCCCCTCCTTCTAATATAAATCTTTTTTTTTTTTGGGATAGAATTTGGCTGGAGTGCAAATGGTGCGATCCGGCTCACCGCAACCTCTGCCTCCTGGGTTCAAGCGATTGACCTGCCTCAGTCTCCCGAGTAGCTGGGATTACAGGCACACGTCACCACGCCCAGCTAATTTTGTATTTTTAGTAGAGACACGGTTTCACCATGTTGGCCAGGATGGTCTTGATATCCCGACTTCGTGATCCGCCTGCCTCAGAGCCTCCCAAAGTGCTGGGATTTTAGGCGTGAGCCAGCACACCTGGCCCAACATAGATCAATTTTTTTTTTTTTGAGAGGGAGTCTCGCTCTGTCTCCCAGGCTGGAGTGTAGTGGCGCGAACTCCGCTCACTGCAAGCTCCATTGCCTCCCGGGTTCACGCCATTCTCCTGTCTCAGCCTCCCGAGAAGCTGGGACTACAGACGTCCGCCACCACGCCCGGCTAATATTTTTGTATTTTTAGTAGAAACAGAGTTTCACCATGTTCGCCAGGATGGTCTTGATCTCCTGACCTCGTGATCTGCCCGCCTCAGCCTCCCAAAGTGCTGGGATTACAGGCGTGAGCCACTGCGCCCGGCCAATTTTTTGTATTTTTTAATAGAGATGGGATTTCACCATGTTAGACAGGATGGTCTCAATCTTCTGACCTTGTGATCCACCCTACTCGGCCTCTCAAAGTGCTGGGATTACTGGCATGATCAACAGCGCCCGGCCTGTAAATCTTTTAAAAACACTGTTGATAGGCAGTTCACATGTTAATTGCTAATATTGGCTCAGTACTTCTGAGTTAATGGATTTAGTGAGGTTCACTAGGTAATATGAACATTAAAAGGTTGTTATAGAAATTCTCAAGTAGCTGATGGTTCTTATTTTTATTTTATTTTGTTTTTTTTGAGTCAGAGTCTAGTTCTGTTGCCCAGGCTGGAGCACAGTGGTGTGATCTCGGCTCACTGCAAGCTCTGCCTCCCGGGTTCACACCGTTTTCCTGTCTCAGCCTCCCGAGTAGCTGGGACTACAGGTGCCTGCCACCATGCCCGGCTAATTTGTTTTGTGTTTTCAGTAGAGACGGGGTTTCACTCTGTTAGCCAGGGTGGTCTCGAGCTCCTGACCTCATGATCCACCCGCCTGGGCCTCCCAAAGTGGTGGGATTACGGGCGTGAGCCACCGCGTCCAACCAGTAGTTCTTATTTTTAATGGAAACTTTTAAAAGTTACCTGTCTTTGTGTCTATTAGAGTCTTGCTGTGTCACCCAGGCTGGAGTGCAGTTGTGTAATCGTAGCTCACTCTAACGTTGAATTGGACTGGAGCTTCCCAGAGTGCTTGGGATTATAGGTGTGAGCTACTGTGCACAGCCTCAAATTTTTTGTTACATAGTTTTTGGAGGCAGAGTCTCACTCTTGTTGCTCTGGCTGGAGTGCAGTGGCATGATCATAGCTCCCTGCATCCTCGAACTCCTGGGCTCAAGTAATCCTCTTCTGCCTCAGCCTCAGCTCAGTAGCTGGGACTACAGGTGCCTGCCACCATGCCTGGCTACATTTTTTAATTTTTTGTAAAGACAGGGTCTTGCTGTGTTTCCCGGGCTGGTGGTTCTTGAATTTCTGGCTTCAAGTGATCCTTCTGCGTTGCCCTCCCAAAGTGCTGGGATTACAGGTATGAGCCACCACACCTGAGTGTGAACTTTTAGTAATAAAAAGTTAGTTTCCCCCTTAATCTATTCACTCAGGTCTCCTTTCCTAGATGACAACTACTATTAGGAGTTTCTTGGGTGTTCAGAAATATTTTTTGCATATGCAAATGTGCAATACATTCTTTCTCTACTTTTGAAAAATACTATGCCTCAGTGTGGTTGTGCTTTACCTATTGCCAGATGCCTTGCTTTTCTAAATGTTTCTTCATTGTTCCACTTTAGCACAGAGATGCCTACCTAAGTATTAAGTACGACATATTTCTCTAGAATGAATATATAATAGAAACATCTTAGATGCTTGTATTTTTTCATTTTATTTTAAAGCTTAATGATCAAATGATTATAAGCATAAAATGTAGGTTATGTGCTGGTATTTGGGTATTTAAGAATTGGCTAGCTTTTATGGTATGATTTTCAGACTCTTAATCAGAGGAATACCATGGTTCTAGTAAGTACGTCTGCATTGCAGCTGGGTATTTAACAGTCTCTTGAAACCTTTTAGTTAAAATGAGGAAATAGTCAGGCGCGGTGGCTCACGCCTGTAATCTGAGCACTTTGGGAGGCCGAGGCAGGCGGATCACCTGAGGTCAGGAGTTCGAGACCATCCTGACCAATATGGTGAAACCCCTTCTCTACTAAAAATACAAAAATTAGCCGGTCATGGTGGCAGGTGCCTGTAGTCCCAGCTACTTGAGAGACCGAGATAGGAGAATTGCTTGAAACCAGGAGGCGGAGGTTGCAGTGAGCCGAGATCATGCCACTGCAACGCTCCAGCCTGGCTACAGAGCGAGACTCCGTCTCAAAAAAAAAAAAAAGAAAATAGTGACTTGAGATGATTTGACTGAGTGGATTCACAGCTAATTAACTGGTCACAAATTCAGCTGTTGAGTGATTTTGTAAAAGAGGCCAGGTTTATGAATTGAGGTCAGTTCGAAAACAAAAAGAATGAGAAACTTTTTGTTTCTTATTTTGTGTGTTCTTTTCAACATATAGATGACAAACTTTGATATGATGTTTAGAAAACTTGTGAGTAAAAGGATAGGCAATGTGAATGTTTCTAAAATTCAAAATCGGAAGGTATTAAGTTCTTAAAGAATATATTTTTGAAAAATGAGCTTGTTTGGAAAGAATTACATATACATGGTTTAAAATTCTAGGGGCTCTTAAGAATATTCCTTTGTGTTCCCTAGTTATTTACTTTTTCCACCCGTAAAGAAACTAACGTTACTGCTTTCTTGTGTGTTCTTCAGGAAATGTTTTATGCATCTCCAAGGAAACACACGCACATCCCCTGTCCTTAAAAAGAGAAGGAAAATGTTTAAACATTGTTTTTACTTTATTTCCATTAACTGTATCTTGGAGATATTTCCATGTCAGTATATATAACAGGCATTCTCATTAGTTTGGATGCTTGCATATTATTCCGTTGTATGGATGTACTGTAGTTTTGGAGTTTTTAAAACCAGGGCCCTAAAACCAGGACATTAGCTTGCTTTTACTTTTTTTTTTTTTATGCTACTTCAAGTAATTTAGCAATGATTAACTTGTGCCATGAATTCCTGAAAGAATTGCAGTATCAAAGTATATCTGTGCATTTATAATTTTTAGAGCTGTTGCCAAATATCTAACCCTAAAGAGGTTGTATCAAATTACATTTCCACCACACAAGAAAGTGGTGATAGAATTAAAAGCCAATGCTCTAGTCCCCCATATAGTTACTTTTGGCATGTTCCTAGTAAGTGGGCATTGCCTATGACTGGACATTTTCAGTGATGGACATTCATTACTTACCAAGATAGCCCAGTGCATGTTTAGGTGATTTGGCTCTTGGAACTTCCTTATATAGAATAAAAATATTCCTCAAACCTTCTGCCTGTTGGTCTTGTTTCTTCTTTTGATGATTTCTTTTATAAAATAATTTTAATATTTGAAGGCAGCTGTCACATCTTCCCTTTGCCATTCTATTCATCATGCTTTCAGCTTTTTTTTTTCATAGGTTATGGCATTAGGATCTCTTTAATCTCCTAGTTGTCCTGTTTATTCCAGTGCTATCCCATATTATCCATACTCTGAAAATGTGCTACCTACAATGTGGCATTTCCAAGTGTCATTTCACCTGTACTTTTTAAAGTAGAGTTGTCATACCTACTCAAGTAGGACAACATCTGCTGTTGTCCTATTCAGGGTAGAAAAGTAATGTAATTAAATTTTCCGTTTCTCTGAACGTAACATGAATGTGCTTTTAGTAGAAACTTAATTTCTCAGAAGTGCTCTGTGTATGCATTTTTGTTTTTGTTTTTTTTTTGAGATAGAGTCTCACTCTGTCACCCAGGCTGGAGCACAGTGGCATGATCATGGCTCACTGCAGCCTTGACCTCCTGGATTTAAGTGATCCTTCTGCCTCAAGCCTCTTTGTTGCTGGGACCACAGGTGTGTGCCACCACGCCTGGCTAATTAAAAAAAATTTTTTTTAGAGATAGGGTCTCGCCACGTTGTTTAGGCTGGTCTCGAACTCTGGGCTTAAGCGATTCCCCCACCTTGGACTCCTAAAGTGCTGAGATTACAGGTGTGAGCCACTGTGTCTGGCTCATCTTTTTTTTTTTTTTCCACGAGATGGAGTCTTGCCCTTTCACCCAGGCTGGAGTGCAATGACGCAGTCTCGGCTCACTACAACCTCTGTCTCCCAGGTTCAAGCTATCCTTGTACCTCAGCCTCCCATGTAGCTGGAATTATAGGTGTGTGCTACCGTGCCTCTTTTTTTTCTTTTTTAAATTGTATTTTTAATAGAGACTGGGTTCTACCGTGTTGACCAGGCTGGTCTCGTACTCCTGACCTCAAGTGATCCACCCACCTTGGCCTCCCAGAGTGTTAGGATTACAGGTGTGAGCCACTGCGCCTGTACCTGGCCAGTCTTTCATAGGTTATATAAATTCCTTGGTTCCCAGTGTTTGCAGTCGTTTCTAATTCAGTTTAGTTAATGGTTAACTGTTTATTCATTATCAAAAAAAGTACAGTGTAATAGAAAAGACCATCTTACTATTAGAAGTGTGGGTATCATCAAATTAAGATTTTTGATTTTAAAATTATTAGGTTCCAAGACCAAAGATTAAATTAATAAAAGGAGAAACTGGACAAAATCTGCTGGAAATGATGGCCTGTGACCGTCTGAGCCAATCAGGTAATAGTAATATTAAACTAATTTAATTTAAAAAGAAAAAGGAAATTTCTGTTAAGTTATATCTTATGATAAAATCTTCATCTGTCCAGGAGATAATTTGTCAAAATTATTTCTTTTTGCCGTATCAGTTAAGAGCAATAGGTATGGAAGAGATGGGAAGAAAATAGCACATTCTTTAAAAGAAATGAATATTTGATATTGTTTGCTCCTAGGTGGAGAGGATTTCTTAACTCCTTATCTGGCTGCTAGAGCCTCTGTCCTGTTTAGTCACTTCCTGAACTAAGTGTAATTATTGATTTGCCGACCATTTAACACCAGCTGCTTCTAAAAACACTGCTGTGGGGATATAAAGATGAAGAAGATATAGATCTGTCTTAAAGAGCTGAGAGCATAGTGAGGAAGATAGACGATATATACTTACCTTATATTAGTCTCTTAGAATTTGTCTATTTTTTTCCCCATTTTTGGCTTGGGATGAATCCTAAAGGTCTGTTACATATTACCTGTGCTTTTGCTAAGATTCGAACTTTAAGGGAGTTAGGTGGCCATTGAATCAAGCAGTGAACTGAAGAAACATAATGCTTTCTATAATGAGCAGTTTTGATATAAAATTGGATGAATTTTGTAAAGAGCAAGATGTAATATTAAATCAAAGTTATTGTAAGCTTTGGTGTATAGTTAAGCTGTTGGCCAAAGCTCACATTGCTCTTCTATTCCATAGCTCACTTTTTTTGTGGGAGTTAGACTTTCAGTCCTTAAAGTGACTTTCTACTTTTTTCCTTTTCTGTTTTCCTTCTACCCTTGCAGGGCTCTCGTAAGTGCCTTTGCATGGTGTCACAGTTAGATAAAAATTGCCTGTATTTTTTTTATGTCTTTGATCTGGGCATCCCAAGGGTGCCTCTGCAAGTGTGCTGAGACACAACTGTGTAGTGGTAACCAAACCTGATTGCCCAGCAGAATTAAGGGAGGGTTTTTAAAAAAAAGTTTAATTGAAATGCAATTCATATACCATATGCTTCACCCATTTAAAGTGTACAGTTCAGTGGCTTTAATATGTTCATAGAGTATTACCATTGTCACCACAATCAGTTTTAGAAGATTTTCATCACTCCATGAGGAATTCCTTACCTATTAGCAGTCACTTCCCATTTTACCCAAACCTCTCAGCCTTGGCAACCACTAATCTGGCTCTGTATGTTTGCCTATTCTGAACATTTCACTTAAATGGAATCATATAGTATGTGGTCTTTTGTGACTGGCTTCTTTCATTTAGCAAAGTTTTCAAGGTTCATCTGTGTTATAGCATGTATCAGTACTTTATCCGATGACTGTGATTTTTTAGATTGCTTATTGCAAACCTATGGAATAAAAATCTCTGGGAGCGAGGCCTGGAAATAATTTTTTTTTTTTCTCTCTCCCTGAGACAGAGTCTCGCTCTGTTGCCCAGGCTGGAGTGCAGTGATGCCATCTCGGCTCACTATAAACTCCACCTCCCGGGTTCACGCCATTCTCCTGCCTCAGCCTCCCAAGTAGCTGGGACTACAGGCACCCACCACCACGCCCGGCTAATTTTTTTTTTTTTTTTTTGTATCTTTAGTAGAGGTGGGGTTTCACCGTGTTAGCCAGGACGGTCTCATCTCCTGACCTCATGATCCTCCCAAAGTGCTGGGATTACAGGCATGAGCCACCATGCCTGGCCGGAAGTAATTCTTAAAAGCTGTTTAAAGGAGAATTCTGACCAGTCAGGTTTAGAAATCAGTGTATCTAAAATCAGAAAATTTATGACAGAAAATAAGAGCTTGTCCCTGCTCTCCTATGGCCACTTAAATCCAGACCTTTTCATCTAAAATGCAAATATGTTTAGCATTTTTCATACACATTCCTGTCTTTTTTCCACCTTCTGCTGTCTTATGTAGATACTGATAATATTAAACCTGTACTCTTCTCATTTTCTACATAAGCCCCTGTTTTGTTGTCCAGCTGTGTTTTTTGGGTTGGAGAGTTAGGTCTGCAATAAAATCATGTTATTTCCCCTTTGGGTGTACAAATGAAACAATATGAGCAAATGCAATCTGTATTTTTAAAGTGATGGAAATAACTTAATTTTTTTTTTCAGGGCACATGTTGCTGAACTTAAGTCGTGGAAAGCAAGATTTTTTAAAAGATATTGTCGAGTCTTTTGCCAACAAAAGCGGGCAGTCTGCATTATATGATGCTCTGTTTTCTAGTCAGTCACCTAAGGATACATCTTTTCTTGGTAGCGATAGTATTGGAAACATTGATGTACAAGAACCAGAGCTTGAAGATTTGGCTAGATACGATGTTGGTAAGTTACATGTTTCAGAGGAAACTGTTTGCATCTTAATTCTTATAAATTGCCCATAATCTTATTACCCAGAAATAATGACTTAATATTTTCCTGTATTCCTTTCGTGTGTGAGTTGGGCTGGGGGGAGTTCGAATGTGGTGCTGTGGAGGTGGCATGTATTTTTTTGTTGTTATTGTTTTTGAGACCAAGTTTTGCTCTTGTCGCCCAGGCTAGAGTGCAGCGATCTCGGCTCACTGTAACCTCTGCCTCTTGGGTTCAAGCAATTCTCCTGCCTCAGTCTCCCAAGTAGTGGGATTACAGGTGCCCACCACCAGGCCCGGCTAATTTTTTGTATTTTTAGTACAGACGGGGTTTCATCATGTTGGTCAGGCTGGTCTCAAACTCCTGACCTCAGGTGATGCACCTGCCTTGGCCTCCCAAAGTGCTGGGATTACAGGTGTGAGCCACCGCGCCCAGCCTTGTTGTTTTTTGAGACAGGGTCTTGCCTTGTCACCCGGGCTGGAGTGTAGTGGCATGATCGTAGGTCACTGCTACCTTGAACTTTTGGGCTCAAGGGATTCTCTTGCCTCAGCCTCCTGAGTAGCTGGTACCTCAGGCACATGCCACTCTGCCCAGATAATTTTTTTTTTTAATTGGTAGAGACAAGGTCTAACTCTGATGCCCAGGCTAGTCTCAAACTCCTAGGTTCGAGTGATCTTCCTGCCTAAGCCTCCCAAAGTGTTGGGATTAGGCCCTGCAGGCACAGTGGCTCACATCTGTAATCCCAGCACTTTGGGAGGCCGAGGCGGGCAGATCACCTGAGGTTAGGAGTTCGAGACCATTCTGGCCAACGTGGTGAAACCCCGTCTCTACTAAAAATACAAAAATTAGCTGGGCTTGGTGGTGTGTGCCTGTAGTCCCAGCTGCTCGGGAGGTTGAGGCAGGAGAGTCGCTTGAACCCGGGAGGTGGAGGTTGCAGTGAGCAGAGATCACACCCCTGCGCTGCAGCCTGGGCAACAGAGCGAGACTTCATCTCAAACAGTGTTGGAATTATAGGCATGAGCCACTGCATCTGGCCATATTTTTCATCTAAATAATGTTTATACTATATGTATGATTTATCTTGCTTTCTTCATGAATTCTCTACCATAGGCTCTGTATTAAAAGTATAAATATCACTTTTATTGGCAATGTAATCTTTTTTATGAAGTCATAATTTGCTACTTTCTGTTACTGGGCATCCAAGTTGTTTTCAGCTTTTCCACTGTTAATAATCATACTCTGATAAAAACTTCAACAAAAAGTGTCTTCATTGCAAGTTATCTCCATAGAGATACCTAAAATCAGAATTACTGAGACAAAGGACATTAACATCTTTTAAGTCTTGCAAATTGCCAAAATGACAGAAAGATTATACCTCTTTATGCTTCCAGAAGTGCATAACCTTTTGTTTTCTTTTTTGTTTTTTGAGATGGAGTCTTGCTGTGTCGCCCAGGCTGGAGTGCGGTGGTGCAGTCTCGGCTCACTGCAACCTCCGCCTGCCAGGTTCAAGCAGTTGTCTTGCCTCAGCCTCCCAAGTAGCTGGGACTACAGGCAGGTGACACCATGCTTGGCTAATTTTTTGTATTTTTTAGTAGAGACGGAGTTTCACCATGCTGGCCAGGCTGGTCTCGAACTTCTGACTGCACATAACTTTTTCAGTATTGACTTTCTTGTAGAAAAACAGATTTCTTTACTATACCTATGGATTAATATAGTGGTGTTCCATTGCTTTAATGACTTAACTGAAAGGAAAACCCATTGTTTTGGAATTTCTTATTAGGTTAGGTGTTCTTTATTTGGCTTTTCTCAGTTGATTTTGGTTTATTGAGTTCTAGTCAGTGTCATTTTTTTAGATGGACTTAAGCATTCTTCACTACTTTTTTAATTAAAATTTCTAGAAATAAGTGAGAATGCATTTAATAAGAACATGAGATTTTGCCTAACATAGAATTCCCCCCAGCTTTGATATAGAAAAGCAGTTATATAATTAAGATATATATAATGTGAATTAATTGTTTATTTTGGCAAAACTAATGGCACAAAGAAAATTTGCAAAACCTGAAGCCGATTTTTTAATTTTATTTCAGGCGCTATTCGGGCACATAATGGTAGTCTTCAGCACCTTACTTGGCTTGGCTTACAGTGGAATTCATTGCCTGCCTTACCTGCAATCCGAAAATGGCTAAAACAGCTTTTCCATCATTTGCCCCAGGAAACCTCAAGGCTTGAAACAAATGCACCTGAATCAATATGTATTTTAGATCTTGAAGTAAGCAAAGATTTTAACAAATTAAATATTCTGAATTTTGTTTAATTTTTTTTTTTTAACTTAACTTTTCCTTAAATAAAACAGGTATTTCTACTTGGAGTAGTATATACCAGCCACTTACAATTAAAGGAGAAATGTAATTCTTACCACAGCTCCTATCAGCCGTTATGCCTGCCCCTTCCTGTGTGTAAACAACTTTGTACAGAACGACAAAAGTCTTGGTGGGATGCAGTTTGTACTCTGATTCACAGAAAAGCAGTGTAAGTAGTAAAACAAAAATATTGCTTTAACTTAGTGCGTAGGTTTTAACAGGGATTTAATCCTCATGTGAAGATTTAATTTGTCCTGTGACCCACTAACATATATGTATGTAAGTGCTGAACTGTGTATTTAGAAAGCTATTTTAGTAAATTAAACTATTTTTTAGACCTGGAAACTCAGCAAAATTGCGACTTCTAGTTCAGCATGAAATAAACACTCTAAGAGCCCAGGAAAAACATGGCCTTCAACCTGCTCTGCTTATACATTGGGCAAAATGCCTTCAGAAAACGGTGAGTTTTCAAGTATAAACATTTTAAAGAACATTACCTTAGTTTTTTAAAATCATGAACTTTTTATTGAAAGTCTTTTTGTTCTGAAAACAGCAGCTTGTTCATATTATGACAGATGAATGTGTTTTTTATTGCTACAAAATAGTTAATGTAGTTAAATATAAGCAGTTAGAGGAGCAATGCCTGGCACACAGTGAATATTATGTATTAGCTGAGCTGTTACTGTTATTCCTTAATAATTAAGTTCTGATAATTATTCAACCTAAAAATTAAAAAAAATTAGCACAAGACTTTGTAAGTAAGAGCATTATAGATCTTTCTAAATATTTAAGGTGTGTTCTGGGTCAGGATTAGGTGTGGATGGTCAGCCTTTTGAACAGAATGACACTACAGAAGAGGCAGGTTTCAGCTGTCTAAAAATGGCAACTGTTAAAAAGTAGTTTGGATTGCTACATTAGGGTGGTATCATTAGAAGTGTTTAAAAGTTGAGTGTAGAGGCCAGGCACCATGGCTCAACCTGTAATCCCAGCACTTTGGGAGGCTGAGACAGGCGGATCATGAGGTCAGGAGATCGAGATCATACTGGCTAACACGGTGAAATCCCGTTTCTACTAAAAATACAACAACAAAAAAATTAGCCAGGCGTGGTGGCGGGCACCTGTAGTCCCAGCTACTTGGGAGGCTGAGGCAGGAGAACGGCATGAATCCAGGAGACAGAGCTTGTAGTGAGCCGAGATCGCGCCACTGCACTCCAGCCTGGGCGACAGAGCGAGATTCCATCTCAAAAAAAAAAAGAAAAAACACAAAACGTTGAGTGTAGAATGACCACTGGTATTAAGTGGTTTAGTTATTACAGCATTTGGAAGTTGAACAAATGACTACTGAGGTTCCATTTGGTTTTGACTTGAAATTTTAGCCAGTTCTTACAACTTGTAAATGAACTTTAGATCTAATCATACGTGTTCCTTAAAGGTGTGTGCTTTTAACTTTCTTTTTTAGGGCAGCGGTCTTAATTCTTTTTATGATCAACGAGAATACATAGGGAGAAGTGTTCATTATTGGAAGAAAGTTTTGCCATTGTTGAAGATAATAAAAAAGAAGAACAGTATTCCTGAACCTATTGATCCTCTGTTTAAACATTTTCATAGTGTAGACATTCAGGTAACAGAGTTCCTTTGTGAATTTACTGGAGATGGGAATTTCCAGTTTATAGACAAAGACATGAAGCTATAAACTGCTTAAATTAATTGTCTTGTTATTTAATGGTAATCTTGTTTTCTAAATTGACTAGCTCTCACAAATAAGATATGACAGAGAAGAGTAATGAGTTGCTTATCTCTTTAGATCATATAAAATCTTTGGAAAATCATTTGGGTTTTATATTCTGAGTATAAACAGTTTGACTGAAAACTATTCTGTGTGTTTAGGCATCAGAAATTGGTGCATATGAAGAAGACGCACACATAACTTTTGCTATATTGGATGCAGTAAATGGAAATATAGAAGATGCTATGACTGCTTTTGAATCTATAAAAAGTGTTGTTTCTTATTGGAATCTTGCACTGGTAAGTAGATGTGGTACTTGAGCGAAAAGTTTTATTTATTTGTTTGTTTGTTTATTTATTTATTTATTTTTAAAGACAGGGTTTCTTTGTTGGCCAGGCTAGAGTGTAGTGGCACGATCTTGGCTCACTGCAACCTCTGCTTCCCAGGCTCAAGCGATTCTTGTGCCTCAGCTCCCGAGTAGCTGGGATTACAGGCATGAGCCACCATGCCTGGCCAAGCTAAAAGTTTTTTGTTTTAAAAACCTGATTATTTCATAAAAGCACTATTTGTGTAGATTTTTCACAGGAAGGCTGAAGACATTGAAAATGATGCCCTTTCTCCTGAAGAACAAGAAGAATGCAAAAATTATCTGAGAAAGACCAGGGACTACCTAATAAAGATTTTAGATGACAGTGATTCAAATCTTTCAGTGGTCAAGAAAGTAAGTAGCAGGTTGTTGTATGTATGTTCTTACTGATAACTCACTGATCAGTGTTTTTGCGTTGGTCTTACATTTTGGTAATTTCAAAAATACTCAGTAATATGTTGTTACTAATGCATAGAAGGGATGTGTGTGTCTATATATCTTGCTTTGTCTTTGTCTTAGGTTTGCTTGCTTTGTCTTAGGTTTGGTGAGTCTTTTTAAACTTGGAAATCTAGGTATATGTTCTTAAAAAGTACTTCCTGGGGAATTAGAAAAGATTTCTAAGATAAGACATTGATTTTGTTATCTTAGCAATGTAATCAAAACAAATATAACCTCAGGACTAATTCTTAATGAACTCTGCTGAAATTGAAAGTTGTTGCTGACAACTTAAGAGCATTTCTTCTCATCTTCATCAGCCATTATGAACGCCCTTGTTTTCTTGCTGTCAGCTGTTTGAGATTGTCATGATGATGTTAAATTATGTTCAGTCTTCTGAGTGTTTTGTTGATTAATTTGTGTTGCTACTCTTTTATTAGGATTTATGTTGTCTGGTGTATTGTAGCATCTCTATTTCTGTCACCATTCAAAATCAGTTAGAAAACATCAGTAACTTATTATTTTGTTCACTTGGAAAAGCTCTCCAAGTTAACATTCTTTTATCATTTTCATGGCTAACAGAAGTAATAGAAAGAGCGTGGACTTTAGAATCCGAAGATGTTAGATTGTATACCATTTTTCTGTGTTCATGAAGAAAAAAATTATAGAATAAAGACAAAAAAATAAAAATTATACAAAACAACAGAAAAAGAAAGATAATTTAAAAAACACTTTCACATATATTATTAAAGGATAAAGTGCTTATTAAAGTGACAAAAATGTAAATATATCATTTTAGAGTTTTTACTTTTGGAATTTTTTGCAAATGAAAGCTGTTAATTAATGTCTTTTATTTTTAGTTGCCTGTGCCCCTGGAGTCTGTAAAAGAGATGCTTAATTCAGTCATGCAGGAACTCGAAGACTACAGTGAAGGAGGTCCTCTTTATAAAAACGGTTCTTCGCGAAATGCAGATTCAGAAATAAAACATTCTACACCGTCTCCTACCAAATATTCACTATCACCAAGTAAAAGTTACAAGGTAAACAGGGAAGAAATGGATCATTTCATTGTGAAATATGTTTCTAAGTGTTTTAAATACTGTTTTATTATTTTAATTTTTTTAAGTATTCTCCCAAAACACCACCTCGATGGGCAGAAGATCAGAATTCTTTACTGAAAATGATTTGCCAACAAGTAGAGGCCATTAAGGTAAGTTACTTAATTTCTCTAGCTATACTTTTTATTCCAAGATTCCTTCCCTGGCCATTCCCTTGCTTTTTTTCTGAAGCTGGTCAGAATGTCCCCTTGCCATCCAAATAGTATGGCAAGGGGACATTTTGTCTTTTTTTTTTTTTTTTTTAAAGACAGGGTCTTGTTCTGTTGTGCAGGCTGGAGTGCAGTGGTATGACCACAGCTTACTGCAGCTTCAACCTCCTAGCTCAAGAGAGCCTGTTAGCTCAGCCTCTCGGGAAGCCAGGACTACAAATAGTCACACGCCACCATGCCCAGCTAGTTTTTGTATTTTTTGTAGAGATGGGATTTTGCCATGTTGCCCAGGGTGGCCTTGAACTCCTGGCTCAGCCTCCCGAAGTGCTGGGATTGCAGGTGTGAGCCACTGCGCCCAGCCTACATATCTCAGTCTTGACCCTTTACCATATTTTGTTTTGTTTTGAGATGGAGTCTCACTCTGTTGCCCAGTCTGGAGTGCAATGGCGCAGTCTTGGCGCACTGCAAGCTCTACCTGCCAGGTTCAAGTGATTCTCCTGCCCCAGCCTCCCGAGTAGCTGGGATTACAGGCACCTGCCACCAGGCCTGGCTAATTTTTGTGTTTTTACTAGACACAGGGTTTCACCATGTTGGCCAGGCTGGTTTTGAACTTCTGACCTCAGGTGATCTGCCCACCTTGGCCTCCCAAAGTGCTGGGTTTATAGGCGTAAGCCACCACGCCCAACCCTTTACCATATTTTTGAAAGTACTTTATGTGTCTCTCTCCTCATCTTCCACAAAATTTGAGACCTTCAAAGGTAGAGACTGTTTTATTTAAAATATTAGAATTCCTGGCACAGAGAAGGTTCCTGAGTGATTCAACTACTGCAATGTACTAATCATATTCTGGTCTATGAGTTCATTCCCAGATTAACTGTGGAGTACATGTGTTTCAAATTTATAGCTAGGAATTAAAAGTGGTCTGAGCTTCAAAAAGTCTTACTGTATTTTAATACTTCCATATGAATTTGACTTAATTATGTAAGGAAATAGTTACGTATGTATATGTTATTTTAACAATAGGGTTCAAAGGAGTTTGGCTTTTTTGGAATTGGAAATACAAGTATGTTCTTTCATGCTTATCAGGCAAGAACTAAATTACTCATACTTCTAAAGTTACACCAAGGATATGCTGATATGTGGTGATTATTACAGTGTGATCAGCAGTGCTTGCAACTCAAGAGAATACTATTTGGTGAGGAAGACATTTTTGAATTTGCACCAAAATTTTGAATGTTAATTTCGTGTAGTCGTGGCCTATGATAATTACATACAATTTTGACTTAACATACAGGTTTCAGGCTAGCGACATTGTATTCTCTGGAAGTATAGTGGAGCACTAGTCCATTAGCTTGAAAGCTTGGTGCTAGTACTGACTCTGCCATTAATTAATGATCTTGGGCCAGTCACTTCCTTTGTGACTGTTGGGCTTCTTATCTTTAAAATGAGAGAATTATTGAAGCCAGTTCACATTGAATGTTAAAAATTACAGTTAAAACAGTGATTGCAAATTCACAGCTGTGTTGCGGATACCAACAGTGACCATAAAGTTTTCCAGGTGATTCCACTAGTTTCTTATTTCTTGGATGTGTGTATGTAGCATCTGGACTAGGCACTGTAGATGAATGAGTGGGGGAAATTTTATTTAGCTTGAAAATTTGAGATAGTTTTGGACCTCATAGTTAGGTCGTTCTGGGAAATTTTTATTTGAAACACTTGTAGAAAAAGAAAGCAGACATGCTAGATCTGTCTCTGACCTCACTTGTTACAACTGGTCAGATTCCAGGGCTGATACAGAGAAGTTTGAAACTTTTCAAAATTTACCTGTTTTCTGATACCACTACAGTTTCTTTGGAAAAAGAAAGAATTTCCTGTTAAGTGTCTGTTTTGTAAGGGGACATTTTGTAGGTGCTAGGGTTGGGTATGGTGCTGTCATTTAGTTTTCTTCAGCAGAGATCAGATAGCCACATAGCTACACTAGATGGCATTGTATCTATCTGCCATCTTGTCAAGGCAGCAGAGTTGTGTTAAGAAAACATTTTTGGAGTCAGATCTGGTTCAAATTCCAGCTATTATTCCCTGCATCCCTTTCTCTCATTTTAAGGTAGGAGCTAATATTGTTTACTGTCTACAGTGTAGACAGCATAAAAATTAAGAGTTTAAGTGCATTGGACATATTATTATATACATAATAAATTCTCTGCAACTACTACTTTTTTCCCTTTCCGGGTGGGGCATTTGAACATCACCTTGACAATTAGTTGTATTTTGTTACAGCACGGGGTTAAGTGAAAAGCTAGTTTGGGGAGGTGATTTGGAATGTCAAGTAGTCCAGATGGACAGAAAAGTAAAGCAGTGTAGAAAGAACACACTGAAAAGATGTTCAGTGTAATGTTAGAGGACTGTGAAAGTTGGGGAAAGAAGTTTAATTTGAAGTTACTTGTTTTTTTGAGCAGGGAATTGTCTTGGCTGGAGGTGAATGTCAGAAAGATTAATGTAGGCAAGTGTAGAATAGAAACGAAGGTATGATCATTTAGGAGAGGTTATTTGTTTAGGTGAGAGAGTTAACAAATTAGGTTTTGTATTAAGGAATGAAAATGGGAGCAGGTAAAGTTTTAACAAATTAAGAATCATATTTTAAAATCGGCACCAGGTACCTAGAACTCATTGGCAAATAGAATTTTTCAAAAGATATAATCAGGGCCAAGGCACAGTGGCTCACGCCTGTAATCCCAACACTTTGGGAGGCTGAGGCAGGCGGATCACGAGGTCAGGAGATCGAGACCATCCTGGCTAACACCGTGAAACCCCGTCTCTACTAAAAATACAAAAAATTAGCCGGGCATGTTGGTGGGTGCCTGTAGTCCCAGCTACTCGGGAGGCTGAGGCTGGAGAATGGCATGAATCCAGGAGGCGGCGCTTGCAGTGAGCTGAAATAGTGCCACTGCAGTCCAGCCTGGGGACAGAGCAAGACACTGTCTCAAAAAAAAAAAAAAGATACAATCAGGGCCAGGCGTGGTGGGTCACACCTATAATCCCAGCACTTTGGGAAGCCAAGGCGGTGGATCACTTAAGGTCAGGAGTTCAAGACTCGCCTGGCAAACATGGTGAAACCCCGTCTCTACTTTAAAAATGCAAAACATTGGCCGGGTGTGCTGGCTGACGCCTGTAAATCCCAGCTATTCAGGAGGCTGAGGTGGGAGAATTGCTTGAGCCCAGGAGGTGGAGGTTGCGGTGAGCCAAGATTGTGCCATTGCACTTCAGCCTGGATGACAGATCGAGACTCCATCTCAAAAAAAAAAAAAAGAAAAAGAAAAATCAGTTATTTAAATTTAAAAGAGTAAGTTTCCCCAGCACTGTTTCTGGCATGATATAATTAAATGTTTAAAATTATTTGATTTTTTTTTCTTCCAATAGAAGGAAATGCAGGAGTTGAAACTAAATAGCAGTAACTCAGCGTCCCCTCATCGTTGGCCCACAGAGAGTTATGGACCAGACTCAGTGCCTGATGGGTATCAGGGGTCACAGACATTTCATGGGGCTCCACTAACAGGTGAGCTGGCAAGTGGATAATCGCATATTTTAGTAAAACTACTTTACTAGCCTCTTTTAAGTAGATAACTTGTGAAATCACCTTGTTTATATATATTTGTTAATGTACATGTCAACGTCTGTTTATATGTTACTTCAAAAGCTATATTTGGTGTTACTGAGATTTTTATAACCCCAAGCAGAAAAGACGAGCTGTATGTGATCATGTGTATATAAAGGCTTAAAGAACCCTTAATCCACACCTCAGATAAGCTGTCTGAGATGAGATTATTCCTTAAATTGAAAAATGTTTATGAATAGAGTTATGCACTAAGAAATGCTTAATTAAGAACCTACACCTCTGGGGAATTATTTTGATGATAATGATGAGAGGCAGGACATTATAGAGGAAATCTTACTTAATTTGAAATATTACGGTTACATAAAGAAAGAAAAGGACTTTGGACCTGGATCATACTGGGTTTTTAAGTTGTGCTCTGTCACTGTAATAGCTGTGTAAGTTAACCTGTTTGAAATGTGGAGATAATACTTGCCTCACATAATTATTATGAGCATTTGTGTATGTGCAGATGGGCGTGGGTGTATATCAGACATTTATTAGAGTATACAGTAAACAGTTAATGAACTAAGGTTACTATTAGTGTTTACTGTGGGTTGGCTATGTGCAAAAGTGCTTTGTGAACGTAATTTTATTTAATTACAGTAACTTAGAATGGCTGGTACCATTATTAATCCCTTTTTTATAAATGAGGAAATGGATAAAGAAAGATTAGGTAACTTACTCATTATTATACAGCTAGTTATTGATAGAACCAATATTCAAACTCCAGTGGTGTAACTCCAAAGCACTTGCCAGTATAATACATTGCTCCCAGGCAGCCAGAAAAAACAAAAAATGTTCCTTTTACGTAAGACAGACTTCTGAAATGGTAGTAGTGCACATTTTTTTTCTCTCTCTTTTTAGCCCAGGAAAGATTTAGAATCTAGTTTAGATGAGCACATTTGTGTGATGGTTCATATAGTTAAAGCAACCCCACTAGCCTTTTGCGATGGTATCTTCTCAACACAAGCAAAATAACAGAAAATCTTTGTGAAGTGAAGCTTATTAAATGTCATAAGTCATAGATAAGTATATGAAATGTCTAACACTCAAACCTTATTTACTTAAAAACCTTACGCATCACATAGGTCCTTGTAAGAGGATAAACAAACGGGCTGACCTTTTCTGGGGCTTTTTTAGTGCTGTGTGCAGTCAGTTATTTGGTGCCTTTGGGGTCATGATTTCCATTTCTTCTGTGTACAGGTATAAAAGGTCTTCTGTTCTTTTACAAGCATATAAATACAACATTCTCATTGTCTCATTTTATTCTTGCAATGACCCTATGAAATGTGTACAAACAGCACGTCCTCATTTTACAATTGAGAAAAATGGAGACTCCAGTCACAGAACAGCTTTGTGGCACTGAAAGGGGGAGAGCCAGGATCTCCTGATTTCTGTTCCTGTGTTCATAGATTTTTTTTTCCTTAATAGTAAACATATCAAGATGGTCTTTATTTTTTTAAAATAAGATGATTAAAATTAAAGATTAATAAGCTCGTAGGAGATACTCAGAAGTACTGAACAGGTTGAAGAAAACTAAAAACTAACCATCTTATTAACATTTCTTATATTTGAGAGCACTTCCTTCTGGTTCTTTCTCTATACATATAGTATTTTTTATGAGATTGTTACCATGTTAGTATGTTGTGTGTGGATGAGCTAGCCTGTTTTTTAAATGTTACTTTAGTTCTGAGCATTTTTAAACTTAAATGTTTTTGAATATTAATGAGTTTGTGGTATCCCATCACATGGAAGTACTGTAAATTCTGTTCCTTTATTTATGTTGTTTCTGGTTTATGCCATTACAAATTCTAGGACACTGTCCTAGTTCTGTAGAGTATTCAAAATATTCAGTTTATGTTCTTACCACTAGTATCTGATAGTGCCATCTTCGCACTTTTGCTAATGCTGACTTACTAGTTTATAAAATCCTTTGCCAATTTGTAGGAACAAAAGTGATACCAATTTTTAAGTTTTTTTAATACTAGTCATGCTCAACAGTTGGTGCAAATGGCTGTTGGCAGTTTTGCCATCTTCAACGTGGGTACCTTCCAGCTGTTTGGTTTCTTTGGTAAAACTCACAAAACAGATGGAGAAGAGTTTGTGTATCAACATGAGTGTTAATGTGTTTTTTTAAAGCAAATGAACACATTTGTGTTCCTTGTGAGATCCTTTGCATGAATTTGTCAGGTAATTTTTTTGACCTGAACATTTTCATAATAGCTTGAGTTTGCACGATGCAGCCTTGTCATTTTGCAGATTTTCGAGGCTCACTTCAAAAACACGGCCCTTGAGGCTATTTCTTTCCTAAATTGTCTATTCATGTGGTGCTTTCAAAAATTAGATTACTTTTAGTAGATTTATTAGAGCTCTTTAGTTTTTTTCCCCACAGTTTAGAGTCAGTAGTCAATTAAAGTTCCTACTTAAATTTCAGACTTTAAGATTTTTTTTTTTAATTTAAAATTTTATTTTTTTATTTTTTCTTTTTGCTTTCATGCAGACAGACATCTTGTAAGACTTTAAGATTCTTGGGCCATTTTCTGCCAGGTTGTTCTGTGTTCTGTGCCTGCTTCCTCCCCATAGTAATTTCCAAATAGCTATCCTCACTTCTATTAGGTTTCCAAAATCAAACTTGGGCTTCTGGCTAGCCTTTTCTAGGTCTTGATTTTTCAGTGCTTTCCAGAGGCAATTGTTTGGAACCTCTTGGCACAATTTGTTTCTTCTTCCATGTACAGGCATAAAAGGTCTTTTGGTTGTTTTCTGGTAAAACTGTCATAAAACAGTTCAAGCAAATGACTGTTGGTAGTTTTGCTATTAACATGGGTGCCTTCTAGTTGTTTGGGTTCCTGGTAAAACACAGAACAGGTGGAGCAGATAGTTTACATCAGCATGAGTGTTGATGTGCTTTTTGTTTTAAGCCAAGGAACACATTTTGTGTTATTTGTGAGATCCTTTCCATGAATTTGTCAGGTGATTTTTGAGCTGAACATTCTCAGTAATAGCTTTAGTTTACAAAATACAACCTAGTCTTTCTGCAGATTTTCTAGACCCACTTCAAATGCATTGACCATCAGATGGCATCTTGGTTCCTTACGTCCTTTCTGTGACTGAATGTCCATAATTCCACATCATACTGATCTTTCTTAGAAAAGGCACCAGCTTCTTTCTTCTTTATTCCTTTTTTAATGCTTGTGAGGTAGTTGTTCTTGTTGATCACGCGATGCTATTCTCTTATTCTTCATGTCATATTTAGCAGTTTTTTTCTAGTTTGTCATTTGATAATCTCCTTGATTGGTGTATTTTGATGTACAGAAATTTAAAATTTATGTAGTTAAATCTTTCTTTAATTTCTATTGTTTTTGTATTTATAGCTCTTGCCTAGATAGTCTTAACTGTAGTATAGACTTTAACAGTGTTTTCTTTATTTTCTTTTTTTTTTTTTAGTTGCAACTACTGGCCCTTCAGTATATTATAGTCAGTCACCAGCATATAATTCCCAGTATCTTCTCAGACCAGCAGCTAATGTTACTCCCACAAAGGTAACAAAGGAATAATTTATACATTTATAATTATTTCCTTTTTAAATTGTTTAGGGTTCCTTCAGAGAAATTCAAGAAAGCAGTTCAGTATTAAAACTTTTATGTCCCTTAAGGTGTAGATAATTTAAATTTGTCTCCAGATACAGAAATTATACTTCTTAGTCACCTTTTGTGTTACAGTAAGTGTGAATATTTAGAATATTTTAAAAATGGGAGTGGTAGTGGTGGATCCTTCATCATTCTGTTTTAACAGAAATAGAACTACAATGCCCTCGCTGACCCACTATGTGGTAAGTACTTTCAGGCCTGATACAGGTATATATATAACAATTGATTGAAGACTCAAAATTACAGTGGTAGTTGAATGTGATAGCTTTGAGGACAGAGTGATGGGGTGCATTTAGACCCTTGCTCTTCTGCTTATTTTGACCACAGGCAAATTTCTTAACCTCTCAATGCATCAGTTGCCTCATATGTAAAATGAGGATAATAATAATACCTTAATTCATAGGGTTTTTGAGGATATTAAAATGAGATAATAAAGTGCTTAGAATAGTGCCCAGCTGGCACATTAATAAATGCTCAATAAATGTTATCATCATCATCATCATTATTAACATCATTTGATAAATTGTTTAGGAATGAAGATGGTATTTATTTTATGACTTTAGTTGTAGATTTTAAGATGCTGTAATTAATTTTCATTATATCCCAAGTATATATGCAAGTATCTTTGTAGCAATGTGGTTTTCTCTTAACCTATTTATGCCTAGTGTTCCATTATTGGAACACTAAGCTTATGGGAGTTATTTATATCTTACTGCTCAGGGTCATTGCCAAGGTCTGATTTTTCACACAGAAAATTTGCAGCCTCTGGCATAAACGGGTTAATGATGTGTACTACATCCCCTAATGATATCTTCTTCACTTAATATTCATGTTTGAAGTTTGTGAGAATTGGTTTGCATTTAGTTATCTGTAGTTTTATAGACAATCTAGAAATTGTTTTAACTTTCTGTCTTCTAGGGCCCAGTCTATGGCATGAATAGGCTTCCACCCCAACAGCATATTTATGCCTATCCGCAACAGATGCACACACCACCAGTGCAAAGCTCATCTGCTTGTATGTTCTCTCAGGAGATGTATGGTCCTCCTGCATTGCGTTTTGAGTCTCCTGCAACAGGAATTCTATCGCCCAGGGGTGATGATTACTTTAATTACAATGTTCAGCAGACAAGCACAAATCCACCTTTGCCAGAACCAGGATATTTCACAAAACCTCCAATTGCGGCTCATGCTTCAAGATCTGCAGAATCTAAGACTATAGAATTTGGGAAAACTAATTTTGTTCAGCCCATGCCAGGTGAAGGAATAAGGCCATCTTTGCCAACACCAGCACACACAACACAGCCACCTCCTTTTAAATTTAACTCAAATTTCAAATCGAATGATGGTGACTTCACATTTTCCTCACCACAGGTTGTGGCACAGCCCCCTCCTGCAGCGTACAGTAATAGTGAAAGCCTTTTAGGCCTCCTGACTTCAGATAAACCCTTGCAAGGAGATGGCTCTAGTGGACCCAAACCAATTCCTGGTGGTCAGACCATTGGGCCTCGAAATACATTCAATTTTGGAAGCAAAAATGTGTCTGGAATTTCGTTTACAGAAAACATGGGGTCAGCTCAGCAAAAGAACTCTGGTTTTCGGCGAAGTGATGATATGTTTACTTTCCATGGTCCAGGGAAATCAGTATTTGGAACACCCACTTTAGAGACAGCAAACAAGAATCATGAGACAGATGGAGGAAGTGCCCATGGGGATGATGATGATGATGGTCCTCACTTTGAGCCTGTAGTACCTCTTCCTGATAAGATTGAAGTAAAAACTGGTGAGGAAGATGAAGAAGAATTCTTTTGCAACCGTGCGAAATTGTTCCGTTTTGATGTAGAATCCAAAGAGTGGAAGGAACGTGGGATTGGCAATGTAAAAATACTGAGGCATAAAACATCTGGTAAAATTCGCCTTCTAATGAGACGAGAGCAAGTGTTGAAAATCTGTGCAAATCATTACATCAGTCCAGATATGAAATTGACACCAAATGCTGGATCAGACAGATCTTTTGTATGGCATGCCCTTGATTATGCAGATGAGTTGCCAAAACCAGAACAACTTGCTATTAGGTTCAAAACTCCTGAGGAAGCAGGACTTTTTAAGTGCAAGTTTGAAGAAGCCCAGAGCATTTTAAAAGCCCCAGGAACAAATGTAGCCACAGCATCAAATCAGGCTATCAGAATTGTGAAAGAACCCACAAGTCATGATAACAAGGATATTTGCAAATCTGATGCTGGAAACATGAATTTTGAATTTCAAGTTGGAAAGAAAGAAGGGTCTTGGTGGCATTGTAACAGCTGCTCATTAAAGAATGCGGCAACTGCTAAGAAATGTGTATCATGCCAAAATCTAAACCCAAGCAATAAAGAACTCGTTGGCCCACCATTAGCTGAAACTGTTTTTACTCCTAAAACTGGCCCAGAGAATGTTCAAGATCGATTTGCATTGATGACTCCAAAGAAAGAAGGTCACTGGGATTGTGGTATTTGTTTAGTAAGAAATGAACCTACTGTATCTAGGTGCATTGCGTGTCAGAATACAAAATCTGCTAACAAAAGTGGATCTTCATTTGTTCATCAGGCTTCATTTACATTTGGCCAGGGAGATCTTCCTAAACCTGTTAACAGTGACTTCAGATCTGTTTTTTCTACAAAGGAAGGACAGTGGGAGTGCAGTGTATGTTTGGTACAAAATGAGGGGAGCTCTACAAAATGTGCTGCTTGTCTGAATCCGAGAAAACAGAGCCTACCTGCTACTGCTATTCCAACACCTGCCTCTTTTAAGTTTGGTACTTCAGAGACAAGTAAAACTTCAAAAAGTGGATTTGAGGACATGTTCGCTAAGAAGGAAGGACAGTGGGATTGCAGTTCATGCTTAGTGCGAAATGAAGCAAATGCTACAAGATGTGTTGCTTGTCAGAATCCAGATAAACCAAGTCCATCTACTTCTGTTACAGCTCCTGTCTCTTTTAAGTTTAATACTACAGAGACAAGCAAGGCTCCAAAGAGCGGATTTGAGGGAATGTTCACTAAGAAGGAAGGACAATGGGATTGCAGTGTGTGCTTAGTAAGAAATGAAGCCAGTGCCACCAAATGTATTGCGTGTCAGAATCCAGGTAAACAAAATCAAACTGCTTCTGCAATTTCAACACCTGCCTCTTCAGAGACAAGCAAGGCTCCAAAGAGCGGATTTGAGGGAATGTTCACTAAGAAGGAAGGACAGTGGGATTGCAGTGTGGCAACACCTAGAAATGAAGCCAGTGCTACCAAGTCTTATTGCTTGTCAGAATCCAGAGTAAACAAAATCAGACTACTACTGCAGATTCAGCACCTGCCTCTTCAGAGACAAGCAGAAGGCTCAAAGAGCAGATTTGAGGAATGTGTTCGGATTTGAGGGAATGTTCACTAAGAAGGAAGGACAGTGGGATTGCAGTATGTGCTTAGTAAGAAATGAAGCCAGTGCTTCCAAATGTATTGCTTGTCAGTATCCAAGTAAACAAAATCAAACAACTGCAATTTCAACACCTGCCTCTTCGGAGGTAAGCAAGGCTCCAAAGAGTGGATTTGAAGGAATGTTCATCAAGAAAGGACAGTGGGATTGTAGTGTTTGCTGTGTACAAAATGAGAGTTCTTCCTTAACATGTGTGGCTTGTGATGCCTCTAAACCAACTCATAAACCTATTGCAGAAGCTCCTTCAGCTTTCACATTGGGCTCAGAAATGAAGTTGCATGACTCTTCTGGAAGTCAGGTGGGAACAGGATTTAAAAGTAATTTCTCAGAAAAAGCTTTTAAGTTTGGCAGTACAGAGCAAGGATTCAAATTTGGGCATGTGGATCAAGAAAATTCACCTTCATTTATGTTTCAGGGTTCTTCTAATACAGAATTTAAGTCAACCAAAGAAGGATTTTCCATCCCTGTATCTGCTGATGGATTTAAATTTGGCATTTCGGAACCAGGGAATCAAGAAAAGAAAAGTGAAAAGCCTCTTGAAAATGATTCTGGCTTCCAGGCTCAGGATATTAGTAGCCAGAAGAATGGTAGTGGTGTGATTTTTGGTCAAACAAGTAGCACTTTTACATTTGCAGATCTTGCAAAATCAACCTCAGGAGAAGGATTTCAGTTTGGCAAAAAAGACCCCAATTTCAAGGGATTTTCAGGTGCTGGAGAAAAATTATTCTCATCACAATGTAGTAAAATGGCCGATAAAGCAAACACTTCTGGTGACTTTGAGAAAGATGATGATGCCTATAAGACTGAGGACAGCGATGACATCCATTTTGAACCAGTAGTTCAAATGCCTGAAAAAGTAGAACTTGTAACAGGAGAAGAAGATGAAAAAGTTCTGTATTCACAGCGGGTAAAACTATTTAGGTTTGATGCTGAGATAAGTCAGTGGAAAGAAAGGGGCTTGGGGAACTTAAAAATTCTCAAAAATGAGGTCAATGGCAAACTAAGAATGCTGATGCGAAGAGAACAAGTACTAAAAGTGTGTGCTAATCATTGGATAACGACTACAATGAATCTGAAGCCTCTCTCTGGATCAGACAGAGCATGGATGTGGTTAGCCAGTGATTTCTCTGATGGTGATGCCAAACTAGAGCAGTTGGCAGCAAAATTTAAAACACCAGAGCTGGCTGAAGAATTCAAGCAGAAGTTTGAGGAATGCCAGCGGCTTCTGTTAGACATACCACTTCAAACTCCCCATAAACTTGTAGATACTGGCAGAGCTGCCAAGTTAATACAGAGAGCTGAAGAAATGAAGAGTGGACTGAAAGATTTCAAGACATTTTTGACAAATGATCAAGCAAAAGTCACTGAAGAAGAGAATAAGAATTCAGGTACAGGTTCTGCCAGTGCCTCAGACACAACAATAAAACCCAATCCCGAAAACACTGGGCCCACATTAGAATGGGATAACTATGATTTAAGGGAAGATGCTTTGGATGATAGTGTTAGTAGTAGCTCAGTACATGCTTCTCCATTGGCAAGTAGCCCTGTGAGAAAAAATCTTTTCCGCTTTGGTGAGTCAACAACAGGATTTAACTTCAGTTTTAAATCTGCTTTGAGTCCATCTAAGTCTCCTGCCAAGTTGAATCAGAGTGGGACATCAGTTGGCACTGATGAAGAATCTGATGTTACTCAAGAAGAAGAGAGAGATGGACAGTACTTTGAACCTGTTGTTCCTTTACCTGATCTAGTTGAAGTATCCAGTGGTGAGGAAAATGAACAAGTTGTTTTTAGTCACAGGGCAAAACTCTACAGATACGATAAAGATGTTGGTCAGTGGAAAGAAAGGGGCATTGGTGATATAAAGATTTTACAGAATTATGATAATAAGCAAGTTCGTATAGTGATGAGAAGGGACCAAGTATTAAAACTTTGTGCCAATCACAGAATAACTCCAGATATGACTTTGCAAAATATGAAAGGGACAGAAAGAGTATGGGTGTGGACTGCATGTGATTTTGCAGATGGAGAAAGAAAAGTAGAGCATTTAGCTGTTCGTTTTAAACTACAGGATGTTGCAGACTCATTTAAGAAAATTTTTGATGAAGCAAAAACAGCCCAGGAAAAAGATTCTTTGATAACACCTCATGTTTCTCGGTCAGGCACTCCCAGAGAGTCACCATGTGGCAAAATTGCTGTAGCTGTATTAGAAGAGACCACAAGAGAGAGGACAGATGTTATTCAGGGTGATGATGTAGCAGATGCAACTTCAGAAGTTGAAGTGTCTAGCACATCTGAAACAACAACAAAAGCAGTGGTTTCTCCTCCAAAGTTTGTATTTGGTTCAGAGTCTGTTAAAAGCATTTTTAGTAGTGAAAAATCAAAACCATTTGCATTTGGCAACAGTTCAGCCACTGGGTCTTTGTTTGGATTTAGTTTTAATGCACCTTTGAAAAGTAACAATTGCGAAACTAGTTCAGTAGCCCAGAGTGGATCTGAAAGCAAAGTGGAACCTAACAAATGTGAACTGTCAAAGAACTCTGATATCGAACAGTCTTCAGATAGCAAAGTCAAAAATCTCTTTGCTTCCTTTCCAACGGAAGAATCTTCAATCAATTACACATTTAAAACACCAGAAAAGGGTAAGTACTTTGTTGTTAAAGTTAAGCACGATTTTTCTTTTAATGTTTAGCTTGATGCACTCTTTGTAGGATAATGATGTTGGGATATAAACGATGCTTTGTGAACACCCCCAAAATATTTGAGCAATGTATTTTTCTCCCTTAATAAGTTCACGGTGAGGTTTCAAAGAGCAACAGAACTTAGTTTAAGACATTTCAGTAACTGGAAGATACTTCTATCATGCTAGGGCAGAGCAAAAGAACTCATACAGTGTACGGACTCATGCTTGAATCATGCGCGTTAACGTGAGTCTTTTTTTAAAGTTTTCATTTTCATTTGTTCAGTTTGTCACTCAGAAAACATGATATTGAGGCCGGGCACAGTGGCTCATGCCTAGAATCCCAGCACTTTCGGAGGTTGAAGTGGGCAGATCGCTTAAGCTCAGGAGTTTGAGACCAGCCTGGCCAACATGGTAAAACCCTGTTTCTACTGAAAATACAAAAATTAGCCGGGCATGGTGGTGCGTGCCTATAATTAGCAGCTACTCAGGAGACTGAGGCAGGAGGATCACTTGAGCACAGGAGATGGAAGTAGCAGTGAGCTGAAATCATGCCACTGTACTCCAGCCTGGCTGGGTGACAGAGTGAGACTTTGTCTCAAAAAAAAAAAAAAAGAACATGATACTGAGATGTTCTCATTTTATATGTTGTATGTTAGTCTTGCTCATTTATTAAATGAGCAAAGAATGAAACTACAGGGGTAAATGAATATATAAGACAATCAGATTGCTGGTATAAATTGAGGGATTCTGGCTTTTTATGTTTTAAAAGCATATTCATTTTGTTTCCCAAAATGTTAAAAAATGAAATATTCTTTATTTTCTAGGATTTAATTTTAGCCTTTTTAAATCTAATCCCATGGCCTTTTGGACTAGCACCCCTTCCTCACAGCCTGAGAACAAAGGTATAGAACTAGCATTCTCAGTATGAGAGAACAGCAGTTTTTAGCAGCTGGTAGCCCTTAGCAAAGTATTAATAACTGTGGCTGTATGAAATTAAGTACTTAACACTACAACATGCATGTTAAAGAATGCCAGTTTAAGCAAAGCACCTTTTGACTGGTGGCATGACATCCTTTATTGTTGGTTTGTTTTTTAAAATATACTGGGATGCTGATGTGTAATGTACTTCATTACTCTGTTATTTCAAGTCTGCTCAATGAAGACCTATGTTTTATCTAATGTTAATCTTTAGCCACTAACGTTTGCCAGTATTCAAATGTATTGGCAACGGCATGTATACAATATGGAAGAGTGTCCCTGTAGGGCTGTTCTTTTGTGCATGGTTTAGAAAAATGTTGTATTTGAAAATGGACCCCATTTTTAACAGCCAGCATTCTACAGCTTGTGTATTATATATGTTGCACAGATATTTTTAGAAGTGTGGCCACTAGAGTGGAACAAGAAGTGGGATCTGTTGAAGGCCTTCTAGAAAGGTTAGGGAAGTGAAATCTCACCATTAGTGACCAGTAACACATCTTAGCCATGCCAAACAAGTACAATGATAAAGTAACAATCTCTGATTTTTTTAAAGTATACCAGTTTTATTACTGGCTAAGGTAGCTCTTAATCTTTTATTTTTAAAGATACAGTCTTTGAGAAATATGAAAAGTGTGAACTTAAAAGTGGATGTATACTTGCATACAGTTTCTGTGAGCTCTAGGTTAGGAATCCCTGACCTAAGATCGCATGTATCTATACACTACTGTAGAACAAAGAGCCTTATTCTGTTTTGAATCTGATAATGTCATTGTCCCAAGGCACCTTGAAAATGAAGACTTTAGACATGAGTAAACTGAGGCGAAGAGAGGCTATCTCATTTACCCAAGGTTACTGAGTAATAGCAGAACTGGAACAAGAACCTTTATCTTACGATGTACTGTTATTTCTCCTAGCTAGGAAATGATACTAAGTTTTTGTTTATAATGAAGGAGAAGGACAAATTTAACATTGTGAAAGGAAGGGTGCTGGTTCTCCAGAGCAGTGTCATCCAATAGAAATAAAATATAACCTGTGTATATAATTTAAAATTGTCATTTGGTGCAGGCTTGTGCCTATAATCCCAGCTACTTGGGAGGCTGAGGCAGAGGGATCACTTGAGCCCACAAGTTCCAGGCTTCAGTAAACTATGATCACATCACTACACTCCAGCTCTGGGTGACAAAGCAAGACCACATCTCAAATAAATTAAATAAATAAATTTTATAGTAGCCATATTAAAAAGAATAAAAAGAAACAGTTAAAAAGGGAAACAGATGAAAGTAATTTTATTGATATATTTGATTTCACTCATGATATCCAAAATATCATTTTAACTTCTAATTAACATAAAAATTGATATTTTACATTATTGTTTTTCACCAAGTCTTCAAAATCCAGTGTGTGTGTTTACACTTAGTATTAGCATGTCTTGATTTGGACTAGCCACCTTGTAAGGTTTTAATAGAATGTCGCTAGGCTACCATATTGGACAGCATTAGCTCTCAGAATGTTTCCCTGTCACCAGTTGGTATACATGGCATGCTTCTTGACCGGCTTACTTTATTAAACTCCTTTAGCCAGAAATTCTTCTTTACATTAATAGATCAGAACAGGTTGCATATAGTTTTTTCTCTTTCTAATTTTTTGCCCTTTGCATTGATGGTGGCTGGAGATGGGTGGTTTTCAGCCATATGAATCATCTTAGATTTTATAGTGTTAGTTACCCATAGAGTAACAGTTTTTATTTAATTTTATCTAGTATCATGCTTGAATGTAGACAAAATAGATGCAACTCTAATCATCTTCCATTCTTGGCAATTGTTAACTTTCCTTACAGGAACTAATCACAGTTGGCTTTGGATTAGTTTCGTATGTCTACTAATACTTGCTTATGTTTTCTTTAAGATGTTTTTTAGTTGCTGCAAATGCATGGATATTTTCATAAACCTACTGTATGCTAAGTATAGTTAGGCAACACTTTCAGATTTTTAACCTTTTTAAATTCTAGAAATTAGTAATTCTTTTCAATAACTATTAAGTAAACACAAGACTTTTTTGTTTTCTTTGGTTTTAAATAGATTCTATGTTCACTAAGGGTTTTTGGTAGAACACTAAATCAGGATGCTAATTCTAATTCATGATTATCGTACATCTCTGCCTCAAAGTATATGTATTTTTTTATCAGTATGCTGTTTTAACCTGCAAACAAGTTCTATGGTTTTTATTTTCAGTTAGAGTATTAATGTGAATACTTAATACCTTACCTTTGTCAATTTTTTTGACTGGTGTTACAGCAAAAGAGAAGAAAAAACCTGAGGATTCTCCCTCAGATGATGATGTTCTCATTGTATATGAACTAACTCCAACCGCTGAGCAGAAAGCCCTTGCAACCAAACTGAAACTTCCTCCAACTTTCTTCTGCTACAAGAATAGACCAGATTATGTTAGTGAAGAAGAGGAGGATGGTAAAACTTTTGTTATTTCAAAAACACTGTGTTCCTGCTAATCTTAGTAAAATTGGGAGTGTGGTGTAATTATTTTAAGCCTGCCTCTTAGAACTTATCACTAATATCCTTGCAGGTATATTCACCCTAAATGTATGTGTAAGTGGTCAATGGATATAAGGATTAAAAGGACTGTGATAATTGAGCAAGCATTTTTTGGATGGCTAATGTGCCAGGCACATGTTGTGAGGGGATTTAAAATAATCATAATTTTTCTGGAGTCTTAAAGATGTGGAAGAGAGAGATAAGGCAGACAAGGTTCCAATGGAAAACTTTGTATGCCATTTTTTAAGCTGGGCAGTTAAATAAAAGTCTCAATAGAATCAGTTGGACAGTGGTATACAGTATTGGATTATGGGACAAGGAGATTGGAAGATGAGTTAAAATGAGAGCAGCTCAAACAAGATGAGAGGCTGAGCTAAAGCTCTAGCAGTAAGAGAGGTATTAAGGATATAAAATTGGCAAAATTGACTGCAATTCAAATGGGGAGAGGGAGAAAGGGTGAAGTTGGAGATAGTCCCTAAGCAAGGAAAACCCCCCAAAATTAACTAGAAATTCTTTTAATCAATTGTATTTTAAGATGAAGATTTCGAAACAGCTGTCAAGAAACTTAATGGAAAACTGTATCTGGATGGCTCAGAAAAATGTAGACCCTTGGAAGAAAATACAGCAGGTATGTTCAATGTAAAGGACATGTATACTGCTTTTAACAAGTCTTCTATTTAGAAGGAATAACCTAGTCTGAATTTTACTATGCCCATGGTGATTTAAAATACTTTATAACATTAGGTGAAAAATATTCTTTTCTGGGTGGTCCTTGTTTTTCATTAGCATGTACAGGTCTTGTTACCTGGGTCTGTAGATTATATTGATGACTACCATTGTTGTAGAGAAGTTGGGCTTCATCTAATTTCGTTTGCTTGTGTTGTACTGATTTTTCAGATAATGAGAAAGAATGTATTATTGTTTGGGAAAAGAAACCAACAGTTGAAGAGAAGGCAAAAGCAGATACGTTAAAACTTCCACCTACATTTTTTTGTGGAGTCTGTAGTGATACTGATGAAGACAATGGAAATGGGGAAGACTTTCAATCAGAGCTTCAAAAAGTTCAGGAAGCTCAAGTAAGAATATCTCTAATAAATTTTCCTTTTAGTTCCATTGCTTTTGTTGATGCGGTAAACTTTAGAATGTTCTTACTTGTTTATTTTTGAGACAGAATTTCACTCTTGTTGCCCAGGGTGGAGTGCAATGGCATGCTCGTGGCTCACAGCAGCCTCTACCTCCCAGGTTCAAGTGAATGTCCTGCCTCAGCCTCACGAGTAGTTGTGGTGGCATCCTGCCTGGCTAATTTTTGTATTTTTAGTAGAGACGGGGTTTCACCATGTTGGGCAGGCTGGTCTTGAACTCCAGACCTCAGGTGATCCACTCGCCTGGGCCTCCCAAAGTGCTGAGATTTTAGGTGTGAGCCACTGCGCCTGACCTAGAATGTTCTTACCAAATAGTAATAATGGGTTGTGGCTACTAAATGGGTTGAGGGGTCTAGACTAAATCAGCTATGGCCAGGAAATAAGGAATTTTAATTTTGTTCTACACAAGAGCTATATACCAAAAGCCACAAAACACTGATGAAATAAAAAATCTAAATTAATGGAAAGGTATACTGTTCCTGGATTGGAAAACTCAAAATAACTAGAATATCAGTTTTCCAAAATTAATCTATAGATTTAATACAATACCAGTCAAAACCCCTCCAGGAATTTTTTTTTTTTTTTGGGTGAGATGGAGTCTCGCTCTGTTGCCAAGCTGGAGTGCAGTGGGGCAATCTCTGCTCACCTCAACCTCTGCCTCCCAGGTTCAAGTGATTCTCCTGTCTCAGCCTCCTGAGCAGCTAGGACTATAGGAACGCGCCACCATGCCCAGCTAATTTTTGTATTTTTTAAGTAGAGACAGGGTTTCACCATGTTGACCAGGATGGTCTTGATCTCTTGACCTTGTGATCCACCCGCCTTGGCCTCCCAAAGTGCTGGGATTACAGGTGTGAGCCACCGTGCCCGGCAAGGAATTCTTTATGGATATACATAAGTGAATTCTAAAATTTCTAGGGAAAGAAAAGCTTATACATTTGTTACAGTTGATGAATCTACACTGATACATCATCACCTAATGTTTTTACCTTTTTGTCAAAAATTTTAACTATTGATACAATCGTGATTCTTTTTATTAAATCTGTGAATGACATTGCATTTTCAAATGTTCAGAAAATTAACTTTGCATTCCAGGGTAAACTTCACTTGGTCAGGGTATAATTTTGATATGTGGTTGCATTCAATTTGCATAAATCTTGTTATAAATTTTTGGGTTTATATTTATCAGGATACTTGTAGTTTTCTGAAACTGTCTTTGTTTTCCATGTAAGAGTAATGCTGGTTGGGCTCAGTGATGTGTGTGTGTAGTCCCAGCTGTTTGGGAGGCTGAGGAGTAGGAGGATTGCTCGGGAGTCCAGGAGTTCCAGGCTGCAGTGCGCTATGATTGTGCCTGTGTATAGCCACTGCTCTCCAGCCTGGACAACAACATAGTGAAACCACCTCTTAAAAAAATGGTAATACTGGTGTCATAAAATGAATTGAGAAGCATTTTCTGTATTGCTGTTTTCTGGAAGAGAGTGTGTTGACTTGGTGCCATTTTCCCTTTAAATGTTGAGCTGTTTTCACCAATGAAACCATGTCTGGAGTTTTCTTAAGTTTTAAAAAATAATATTTATTTCTCTTCTTTATTATTTCCTTCTTTCCTTCTTGCCTCGGGTTTATTTTGCTCTTTTGTCTAGTTTCTTTTCTTTTCTTTTTTTTTTTTTTGCTTTTGAGACAGAGTCTTGCTCTGTCTCCCAGGCTGGAGTGCAGTGGCATGATCTCAGTTCACTGCAACCTCCGCCTCCTGGGTTCAAGCAATTCTCGTGTCTCAGCCACCTGAGTAGCTGGGATTATAGGCGTGGCTAATTTTTGTATTTTTAGTAGAGACGGGGTTTCACCATGTTGGTCAGGCTGATCTCGAACTCCTGACTTCAAATGATCCTCCTGCCCTGGCCTCCCGAAGTGCTGGGATTGCAGGCGTGAGCCACTGTGCCCGGCCTAGTTTCTTAATTTAAAAAAAGCTTAAATTATGAATTTAAGATCATTCTTTATTTCTAGTATAAGTATTTAATACTATAAGTTTCCTTCTAAGCACTTCCTATCTGCAACTGGCAAGTTTTAATATGTGGTATTTTCTCTTTCATGCAGTTCGAAATATTTTCTTATTTTCCTTGAGACATTCTTTGTTATCTGTACATTAGATGCTACTGTGCCATTTCCAGATATTTGGTGATTTTCCTTCCGTATATCTTTCTCTTACTGATTTCTAGTTTAATTCCTTTATGGTTTATGAAAACATTTTGAATAATTTCAGTTCTCATAAATGTTGTGAGGTCTGTCTTGGTGAATGTCTCATGGGTACTTGAGAAGAAAATAGAGTCTCTTGTTTTGTTGACATTGTGCCATTGGCAGTTCCAGTTTTTTCTGGCTGCTGTAGCACCCAGGCTGGGTTATAGGAGTGGCAGAAAAACTCCACGTGGATCTTAACCTCTAGATTATCTCTCTGGTCCCAAGATCCTTTTTCTTCCTGTTTTTATCCACCTTTCCAAGGCTGCTTAGAGGTGCTCTGTATGTTTCAGTCTAGGCATCTAGTTGTAGGTTTTGGGGAGAGATAGGGTGAAGTGTGTTTATTCTATCTTCTCCAGAAGCCCAAGTTCTCAGTTCCCTTTGAAATAGATTATATAGTCATTTTTGTAATTTAGCATTTAAGTGGCATAGTGTTTTGTGACTTCCTCTTTGCAGAAATCTCAGACAGAAGAAATAACTAGCACAACTGACAGTGTATATACAGGTGGGACTGAAGTGATGGTACCTTCTTTCTGTAAATCTGAAGAACCTGATTCTACTACCAAATCCATTAGTTCACCATCTGTTTCCTCTGAAACTATGGACAAACCTGTAGATTTGTCAACTAGAAAGGAACTTGATACAGATTCTACAAGCCAAGGTAAAACTTGATATATGTTTATCATGTATTACATAAGGGACACCTAATTTATATTTGAGAAGATAGACTTTTAAAGGCAGATCCTGAAAACTCCCTTTAAAACAAATTTTGATGTGTATATAAAGGGGCATCTTAGTAGTAGTAGTAATAATCAGAAAAATTGTATTATCTTGCCAACAAATATGTTTTTATTGATAGAGTTGTGGTTATTAGGGAATACAAAGCATTATGACTCTGACCTATTTTCCTAAGTTTAAAAGACAAGAGTGTTGTTACATGTAATTTCCTTTGTGATAGCGTTTTCATTTAAATATTGTTTGAATTATATTATCACTCAAGCATATTCAAAGTGTTTTAATTATGAAGAAATTGTAGAAATATAATAGGGATTTAAGAAAGTTTTATGGTACTATTTAATGTTTCTTTTCTCTAATAGTTTCAAAGCTTGCTAAATTAATTATTCAGTTACAGTAACATATTTGGTATTGCTTTCTCTCTTTTTCATTTCGATTTCGGGGATGGAAGTGGGAAGTTTAAGTTGTATTGCTTTGTGTATATTACTACTTTTAAAAAAAGAAATAGCCTTCAGTGTCACAAATACTACATTTATAAGCATTTGAGATTCTTAATGTGCTAAAAGAAGAAGATGACTTCATACCTAAAGCCTCATATATTTTCATATGAGGAAAATAAGGCATGGGGCTTTCAGAGATCATGCAGCTTCACATCAGCAGAATTAAGAGAAGACCCCAAAAGTCCTTATGACGAAGTGTAAATGAGACATTTGGTTTTTATGAGCTTATTTATAGTACAGAACACAAAAAGTTTTTATACAGATGTTTCCTAAAACCCTGCCTTTGATTGAATGCTTGGTTTGGAGTATAGTAGGCTCCATAGAGCAGAAACGGTAGTTTATTATCTGGTGTAATATAGATAGCTCTACATCTCATTTATAAAAAATAAGTTTTGGCATGCATTTGGTGTAGTATTGTAGTATTCTTTGTGAATAGCACCTGTAAAATTAGTAATACTGAAGCAGCTCAGAATTGGATGTATTTTGTAACTTGTCAGAATTGAAATAACTCCCCTCATCCCAGAATATACAAGGCTCTACTGTTCTCTCTAGGTCCTGGGTAAAGCTTTGATATTCAGCACAAATGAAATAGTAAATTGTTTTTTCTTTTGCCAGGGGAAAGCAAAATAGTTTCATTTGGATTTGGAAGTAGCACAGGGCTCTCATTTGCAGACTTGGCTTCCAGTAATTCTGGAGATTTTGCTTTTGGTTCTAAAGGTAAGATGAAGAGGAGAGACTTTGAATGACATTGTTACAGAATCAAACACAACTGAAAAACTAGGTTTTTGTTGCAGTATGTAACTAAATTAGAAGTTTCTTCCCTTACCCCCCTGTTTGTTTAGTGTTTTAATAATGAAGGGCTTCTACATTTTATTATTTTTTGACATCAACATAATCATAAGAATTTTCTCTAAATTTTATGTAAGCCATGCTGATAGTCCTCCCCATTCTGAAATGCAGAACCATTTTCGAGCTTTGGAATGACTCTGACTTTGGTCATTATTCTTTTAACTATACTTTCAGATTTGGTTTGTTAATATTTCAGGATTTGTGAGTTTATTACTTTTTAAGGATATGATTTTGTAGTTTTCTGTACTATCTTTGGATTTCAGTATTAGGGTTGTGCTAATTTATTGTGCTAAGTTTATATTTGGTGTGCTTGCCCATCTTCTTTAGTGGAGTTTCTAATTTTAATCCATTTTGGTAACATTTCTAGAAAATAATCCATTTCCCTGATTGTATCGGGTTTACCAGTATAAGACCATTCATTGTATTTTCTCATTCTTGTAATATCTTTCACATTGCTCTTTATAGCACCACTTAAATAGTTCTAGTACAAGGTGTTTGATTTATGGAATACATTTTATTGAGGATATATGCTTAAATGATTAATGCAGTTCAGAATTCTGTTCTTTCCTCCTCCATATTTGCACTTTTTTCACAGCTCCTGCCACCTGTAGAAACACATAAAACTTTTAGAAATTACCTTCAGATGTGATGTTATGTTGGAATTCGTGGGCTTCACTGATGTTATTTATTTTTGTTTTAATTTATTAAATAGCCTGAAATCAAAGGGTAGTGTGTCAGCAAATAAGCAATATAGTAGGTACACTTACACAAAAAAATCCCAAATAAAAATAGATAGGCTCCTTGTTAATCAGTGTAGCCTTTTTGAAGTATTATGTCAATATTGGACACTAAAGTGTAAAGTAGAAAATACTCACATATCAGGAGGAAAATCATGCCTAAATAAGCCTTATGCATTGACATTCACTTCTCACTACCACTTGTCATTTTTAGTGAGATTATTCACCAAGCTCTTGTGTACTGAATGCTTTAGTTAATTTAGATTGTGCTTGTTAAAAATAGTATTTGAAACTGTAAATGCCCTGCAGTCAGTTTTGTTTGTATCCATAGGTTTTCATAGGGAATCTTTATACTTTTGTTAATTTCCAGATAATTTAGAGATTCAATCTTATTTTCTCTAATGTCTCAAAGCTTGCTGAATTAATTATTCACTTACAGTAACATCACTGTAGACCCCCTTATGACCTGTGAGACCCAGATACTGATACATTACACATATTTTTACAAATGGTTGATTCTAATGTATTCCCAGGGTAGAGAACCACTATTTTGAAATAATTTTGAATTCTTCTGCCACATGTCCCTTGGGGTTATTTTTAAAATTTTTGCTTTCAACAAAAAAGTTGCTGAACAATTTTGTGTTTTTTTGTTTTTGAGACAGGATTTCACTCTGTTGCCCAGGCTGGAGTGCAGTGGCATGAACACAGCTCACTGCTGCCTTGACCTCCTGGGCCCTTCAGCAATCCTTTCACCTCAGCCTGCCAAGTAGCTGGGACCACAGGTGTGTACCACCATGCCTAGCTAATTTTTGCATTTTTTGTAGAGACAGAGGTCTCACTATGTTGCCCAGGCTGGTCTCAAACTCCTGGGCTCAAGCAGTCCTCCCACCTTGGCCCTGCAAAGTGCTGGGATTGTAGGCATGAGCCACTGCACCTGGCCCTGAACAGTTATTTTTGAGCCCCTAAGTTGATATCTCATCCAGATCAGTGGTTACTGGTCTCAGGAAGTCCCCATGCAACCTGTGATTTTTGTTCTTGGATCATTCCTTTGCAATACAATTGTTTTATGTCCTTAAGAATTTTTGTCTTTCTCTTTTTTTTTTTTTTTTTTTTTGAGACGATCACTCTGTTACCCAGGCTGGAGTGCAGTGGCGCAGATCTCAGCTTACTGCAACCTCTGCTTGCTAGGATGAAGTGATTCTTCTGCCTCAGCCTCCTGAGTAGCTGGGATTATAGGTGTGTGCTGCAACACCCCGCTAATTCTTTTAGTATTTTTAGTAGATATGGGGTTTTGCCATGTTGGCCAGGCTCATCTCGAACTCCTGACCTCAAGCGATCAGCCCGCCTCGGCCTCCTGAAGTGCTGGGATTACAGGTGTTGAGCCACCACACCTGGCCCTCCCTCTCTCCTCTTTAAAAACGTTTTTTTTCCCCTCCATTAAATCCTTCTTAAAGAGAGTTTTTTATTGTGTTCTTTAAGATACTGAGTTATGGACCCTGTGACATTTTTTCTTTCTTAAGAGTTTTTAGCAGAAGGTGTAGGGTTCTTCAAGACAGTGATTCAGCAAATGATGAAAAGTTGAGAGGTGTTTCTTTCCTCTAAGATAGTGGGGACTTGGTCATGTAAATTGAGGTGTGGGATGGAGAAGTTTCTAGTTCTCACCTTCTTGCAGGTATGCAAGAGAGAGACCATCATTGTTCCCCCACACAGAAATAGGATGTTTTAACAGTCTAATACCCTTTGGGCAGTTGAAGTCAGTGAGGTTCTCCCAAGGCTGCTATCTACCAGCCCAGCCAAGAAATCTACATTCCAGCACTAGCTTCTTCAGGAAGAAGTAGAGATGCAGAAATTATAAACATGTTTAGGCTATTGTGGCTAATTTGGAAGTAGCAAGTTTGGCCTGCTGAGCTAAGTTTACAAAATTTCAAGGTGAATACTTGAAATTTTAGAAGTAGGTAAAGAATTTAACTTCTTTACTGGAAGTCCTTGTGTAGTTTAGTATTACGAAGTTTATCCAAGGCAGTGACAGTGTTATCTTTGTATCTCTAAGCATAAACAATAACACATGTATTCTGTACTCCCAGTATGAAGGTTTTTTTTTTTTTTTTTTTTTTTTTTGGTGACAGTCTTGCTCTGTCACCCAGACTGGAATACAATGGCATGATCTCTGCTCATTGCAACCTCTGCCACCAAAGTTCAAGTGATTCTCCTGCCTTAGCCTCCTGAGTAGCTGGGATTACAGGCACCCGCCACCACGCCCGGCTGATTTTTTTTTTTTTTTTGTAAGACAGAGTCTTGCTGTTGCCCAGGCTGGAGTGCAGTGGGGCGATACTGGATCACTGCAACCTCTGCCTCTCAAGTTCAAGCGATTCTTCTGCCTCAGCCCTCCTGAGTAGCTGGGATTACAGTCACCCACAACCACACACCGCTAACTTTTTTTTTTAAGACAGAATCTTGCTCTGTTGCCTAGGCTGGACTGCAGTGGGGCGATCTCGGCTCACTGCAACCTCCACCTCTCAGGTTCAAGCAATTCTTCTGCCTCAGCCTCCCAAGTAGCTAGGACCACAGGCGCATACCACCACGCCTGGCTTTTTTTTTTTTGAGACGGAGTTTCCCTCTTACTGCCCAGGCTAGAGTACAGTGGCGCCATCTCAGTGCACTGCAACCTCTGCCTCCTGGGTTCAAGTGATTCTCCTGCCTCAGCCTCCCGAGTAGCTGCGATTACAGGCATGTGCCACCATGCCCAGCTAATTTTGTATTTTTAGTAGAGATGGGGTTTCTCCATGTTGGTCAGATTGGTTTCGAACTCCTGACTTCAGGCGATCCGCTCACCTTGGCCTCCCAAAGTGCTGGGATTACAGGCATGAGCCACTGTGCCTGGCCTAATTTTTGTATTATTAGAAGAGATAGGGTTTCACCATGTTGGCTATGGTTTGGTCTAACCCCTGACCTCAGGTGACCTTGGCCTCCCAAAGTGCTGGGATTACAGGCGTGAGGAATTTACTAGAATAATATAGTTTTAAACATTTAAAATTGATGCACATATTACATCATCAGGAATTAGAAGGATTGATAAAATAAGAGGGGGATGAAAAATGTAAAAAATAGATACCAGTGTTTAAATATCTTGATTTATTCATCAGATAAAAATTTCCAATGGGCAAATACTGGAGCGGCTGTGTTTGGAACACAGTCAGTCGGAACCCAGTCAATTGGTAAAGTTGGTGAAGATGAAGATGGTAGTGATGAAGAAGTAGTTCATAATGAAGATATCCATTTTGAACCAATAGTGTCACTACCAGAGGTAAATGTTAAGGAATTAAACTTTTACTAATAACTTATTTTTCATTTTTAAGTTTAAAACTTACCCTGGCTTGATCGGTCAGGGTATCATTGTTTGCATTTAAGAATGTTTACAGTTTGAAATGGAAGCTCTATTTATTAGATGTCTAGCCTTTAAGTATAAATTATCTTTTTGCAGTTTTTACATAAATATTGGTTTGTAAATTCTATATGTAATTGTTGGGAAGAAATAATTTTTTCGTATGTTTCTAGAATATCATGTTGGTTTTTATAACATGATTCTGGGGAAAAATTAACCTCATACTCATGAAAGTCCTTTCAATAAACATTAATCTGTGTTTTTTGGACAAGAACATTGTTCTAGGAAAATTATTTTGTCATTTTTAACCTCAGTATCTTATATTTCTCTTCAGTAGCAGACACTTTTGAAACCTCTGTTCCTATAAAGAAAAGCATTTAATTTCCAAAGGGAAAATGAATACTATATAAAAGAAAATATTTAATGACAAATCAGGTCTTTACTCCCTCAGCCACATCAGATGTATTCCTAGCCCTAAGATATATAACCAATTATTATATTAACAAATTCTCTTTGTCATCACAAAGAAAATGCCTTAAAAGAATTTGGATCTTTGGCCGGGTGCGGTGGCTCAAGCCTGTAATCCCAGCACTTTGGGAGGCTGAGACGGGCGAATCACGAGGTCAGGAGATCGAGACCATCCTGGCTAACATGGTGAAACCCCGTCTCTACTAAAAAATACAAAAAACTAGCCAGGTGAGGTGGCGGGCGCCTGTAGTCCCAGCTACTCGGGAGGCTGAGGCAGGAGAATGGCATAAACCCGGGAGGCGGAGCTTGCAGTGAGCTGAGATCTGGCCACTGCACTCCAGCCTGGACGACAGAGCCAGACTCCGTCTCAAAAAAAAAAAGGAATTTGGATCTTTGAAATTTGTCATGGAATTTATTATAAGCAGCAGCTTATAGAGTATTTCATCTCCTATTATAGGTAGAAGTAAAATCTGGAGAAGAAGATGAAGAAATTTTGTTTAAAGAGAGAGCCAAACTTTATAGATGGGATCGGGATGTCAGTCAGTGGAAGGAACGTGGTGTTGGAGATATAAAGATTCTTTGGCATACAATGAAGAATTATTACCGGATCCTTATGAGAAGAGACCAGGTTTTTAAAGTGTGTGCAAACCACGTTATTACTAAAACAATGGAATTAAAGCCCTTAAATGTTTCAAATAATGCTTTAGTTTGGACTGCCTCAGATTATGCTGGTGAGTTTTTACATTCAAATGTACTTTTCAGTTTTTGGACTTTTCTAAAATCTATAACAAAACAACTTACAACAGTTATTTTAACACTAAGGTCACTCCTTCCCCTTTCCCTCCTTAATAGATGGAGAAGCAAAAGTAGAACAGCTTGCAGTGAGATTTAAAACTAAAGAAGTAGCTGATTGTTTCAAGAAAACATTTGAAGAATGTCAGCAGAATTTATTGCAACTCCAGAAAGGACATGCAGCAGAATTATCAAAGGAGACCAATCCTGTGGTGTTTTTTGATGTTTGTGCGGACGGTGAACCTCTAGGACGGATAACTATGGAGTTATTTTCGAACATTGTTCCTCAGACTGCTGAGAACTTCAGAGCACTATGCACTGGAGAGAAAGGCTTTGGTTTCAAGAATTCCATTTTTCACAGAGTAATTCCGGATTTTGTTTGCCAAGTAGGTATTATTAAGTACATACCGCAGTTGAGGTCTTAAAGAATGCACCACACTAACGGGAAATTTGGGTGTTTTTCCTGGACCTCATCCTGTAGTTTTGTTTAAGATTTCTTTAGGTTTTCCACACATGGAATCACATGGCATCACTACCCATTCCCTGTTCCTGCCTAAAACTTTCACCCTAAAATAATTTAGGCTGGTCACAATGACTCACACCTGTAATTCCAGCACTTTAGGAGGCCAAGGCAGGCAGATTGCTTGAGCCCCAGAATTTGAGACCAGCCTGGGCAATGTGGCAAAAATCTCATCTGGACAAAAAATAACAGAAATTAGGCGTGATGGTGTCCGTCTGTGGTCCCAGCTACATGGAGGCTGAGGTGGGAGCATCCAGGAAGCCAAGGCTGCAGTGAGCTAGGTTTGCGTCACTGCACTCCATCCTGGGCAACAGAGTGAGACAGCCTGTCAAAAAAAAAAAAAAAGCTAAATTTTCAGTACTTGAGACCTAGTAGGTAGAGACTACGGGATGGGAAAAACCTTTTCATTTTTCATCTTCTTTCCAACAATATGAATTTCTTAGGTTTCAAATTATACTCAGGAAAGCTGGGCTTTAGGATTTATCCTGTAGTGATGAGTTCTGTGTGTATTTTAGTGTTTTACTCAGGATTCCTATTAATTGAAAAAATTTCTAAAACTTTTGTTATACATTTTTTTTCAGGGAGGAGATATCACCAAACATGATGGAACAGGCGGACAGTCCATTTATGGAGATAAATTTGAAGATGAAAATTTTGATGTGAAACATACTGGCCCTGGTTTACTATCTATGGCCAATCAAGGCCAGAATACCAATAATTCTCAATTTTTTATAACACTGAAAAAAGCAGAACATTTGGACTTTAAGCATGTAGTATTTGGGTTTGTTAAGGATGGCATGGATACTGTGAAAAAGATTGAATCATTTGGTTCTCCCAAAGGGTCTGTTTGTCGAAGAATAACTATCACAGAATGTGGACAGATATAAAATCATTGTGTTTCATAGAAAATTTTATCTGTATAAGCAGTTGAATTGAAGCTTAGTTATTACAATTTGATAATTATGTTCAGCTTTTGAAAATGGACGTTTCTGATGTACAGATGTAAAATTGCAGCTTATAGCTGTTGTCACTTTTTAATATGTTATAATTGACCTTGCATGGTGTGAAATAAAAGTTTAAACACTGGTGTATTTCAGGTGTACTTGTGTTTATGTACTCCTGACATATTTGTATTAAAATGGAATAATACTAATCTTGTTAAAAGCAATAGACCTTCTCAAACTATTGAAGGAATATGATATATGCAATTTAATTTTAATTCCTTTTAAGATATTTGGACTTCCTGCATGGATATACTTACCATTTGAATAAAGGGACCACAACTTGGATAATTTTACTTTAGATTTGAAATATATTTGGTAATCTTAACTATTGGTGCACTCATTTATGCATAGAGACTCATTTATGAATGGGTAGAGCCACAGAACGTACAGAGTTAACCAAAGTGCTCTTCTCTAGAATCTTTACACCTCCTGTGTGGTTACAAGTTAACTTTGTAAGTAGTGTACCTTCCTTCCTTAAAATATCTAGCTTCCTATGCTCTTTCATAGGTATTCAATTAATTTTTACATTTTAAACAAGTTGACTATTTCCTTTAGGGGTTTTGTTTTAAACTTTTCTGTCATCTGTCTCTACTACCTCAGAAACTGCAGCTTGGTTCTGATGATAGAAATTGAATTTTTCCTTATAGTTATTGTGATAAAGTATGAATATTTTTAGAAAGTCTATGCCATGTTATTTGGTTAAAGATTTGCTTTATACAGGATTGTTGCAGTACCCTTTTCTGGTAAACTTTGTAGCAGAAATAAAATGACAATTCATAAGAGCCACTGACATTCAAAAAATTCATTACTTGTGCTTCTGGTTATTCTAAAGGAGGACAGTTCAGAGGCAGTAAATTCAAACTGCCGCCTAACTTCCAGAGCTAGTTTCTCAAGTTTGATATACACTGAAAATGTATTTGGAAATGGCTTGTATCAAATGTTAGGCAAATTGCTAAAGAGGATGTTCTTATTGGCCTACTCGATATGGAACTATAAAGAATCCAGGTAGAACACAAAATTCTGTATATTGCAATTATGAATACTGACTCTCTTCCACCCAAAGAACACATTCTTTCTGGTGAAATTACTTCATTTTATTTAGTGAGGAAAGACAGGTTTATTCCCTGTTATATGGGGATTTGGAAATTGGGTATCCTAAAGCAAGTAACTGTTCAAAAGAGGGGAGGGATGTTGTGTGAGTAATGAGTGATGGTATACCATCACCATTCCACTCAGCCACAAAGCCAGATACCTGAAATAAACCTCCTCAAGAACCATGAATTACATATGTTTACACTAAATATTTCAAATTGGCTTATTTGGAAATCTATGTAATATAAACTGATGTAAAGTGTGTTGTAACTTTTCAGCTGAGACAGCTGATGCCTTCGTCATGATTTTAGAATAAATTCTTAACAATGCAAGTGCGTTTTAAGAGATTTTTTACAGATTTCTATGCTTTCCTAAAGCATTAAAGTTACAAATTAAAAAGCTTTAAACTTTGACCAAAAATTTGACAAAATGACATGTAAACTGACTTTTCTAGTATTAGTATTCCAAAGATGCTTAACAGTGGCGTGTGTGGCATTTATGAGAAAGTCTTTGTGTCACATTTCAGGAAAGGACTTTGATTTTGTTATTTAATCACTGATGTGGTCTAAACCCACGATATGTATCTTTCCTTTTAAACTGGATTTTATATTGTCTCACTGAAATCTGCTTAAAGATAGAATAAAGTAATTCATTATTTGTACATCTTAAGTGGTACTTTATGGCAAAAAGTATGGCTTAAGTAATTTTCAGATAATAACTGCTTAAGTATAGATTTTATAAAACTTGGGCATTTGGGAACTTTAATCCAGAAACTTTAGGAGTTATTAGTCCAGAGATGCAGCTGACAGTCACAACTTAGAAAAGTAAAATATTACACCACTGTAATTGTATGAATGAGAAATGAAGTGGTTGTACAGTTTCCCTCAGTTTTGTTTAACAGGTTTTCAGGTTGATGTATACTGTGGCTAGCACTGTTGTGGGTACTGGCAAAAGCTTTTATCTTTTCAAAAAACAAAAGTTTGTTTTCAGGGAGCTTACATTCTAATTATTCTTTTTAATACCTGGTTATACCCCATATGGAACACAGGAAAAGAGGTAATCTGCAATTTCTATGCTCAGCTTTCCTTTTTTTTTTTTTTTAAAAAAAGAGATGAGAGTCTTGCTATGTTACCTAGAGTAGATGTAACTCCCAGGCTCCCTAAGCAGCCAGGATTACACGCGCGCCACCACTCCTGGCTCAGATATAGTCTTGGTTTTTCTTTTATATGGCAGTTAGCAAAGGCCACTTCTGATGGAACGACAGGACTATGGTGAGCGCAAACGCACACTAAACTTACAGGTTAAATGGAGCTGAAGCGGAGCGCTGCAGGCAGGTGTGGGGCCTCAGTGCCCCTCCACCCGTGGTACCCAGGCGGCCGGGGCGGCACTAGCGCGGGGAGATGCAATACTACTCAAGTTATGGGGTCTGCAGCGATAGCACGAGAGACCTGGAGGACGCGCGGTCAAACCTGGCTGCTTTCTCCGGGTTCTCCAGTTCTGCCCCGCCCCTTCCCTGCGGCCCTGCGTGCTTCTGGGGGCGGGGCCTTGCACGTCGTGACGCACCGCGGCCGCGTTGCGCCGCGGGTTTGATGAACGCGGTTCCCGGGGAGACCGCTGTGGTTGCGGTGTACTATGGAGCCGAGGGTCGTCAAGCCTCCGGGGCAGGATTTAGTAGTGGAGCGTCTCAAAAGCCGCTACGGACTCGGGGGCAGCTGCGGGGACGAGGTGAAGCCGCCGCTCCGAGGTCCGCGGTTGGGGTCCTGCTGCTGCGGAGCGGCTCACCCCGTGCCCCGCGCAGCCGGCCTGGGGGCGCGCAGCGGCTCTGGTCCCGGCCCCGGCACTCCAGCGGTGGCTGCGGCTCGGGCCTCGTGGAAGCGGGCGGGAGGGGCGGGCGTTGCGCTGCAGGGGCACAGGGTCGCCACTTCGCCTATGCCTCTGTGTTCATGGTATACGGGGCATGGTGTGATGTTAGAGAAAGTATTATTCAGCTTTTTTGTTTTTGCAGTGATGTGAGTGGAGTTGAGAAAACAGTTGAATTGCTTTTCAAAAGCGGCTTATTTCGAAATAATTTCAGACTTAAAAGTTGCTGCCGTAGTACCAATAATTCCCTTGTACCCTCACTTGCATTCACAAATTAATATTTTGCCACATTTGCTTTACCATTCGTTCTCTCCTCTTCCCTCCCTACACACGTTTTTTCCCTTTGAACTATTTGAGGGTAATTTGCAGGCATCGTGCCCCTTTACCTCTAGATAGAAATAACTTGTGTGTTTTCCTAAGCATGAGGACGTTCTCTTTTAATAACCACAGTAATATTTTCAGGAAATTTACAATTGATATATTTGGTAATCTTGAGTTCATATGAAGTTTCAGCAATTATCTCGATAATGCCTTTTATAGGAAAAATTTTTTCCTAGTGCAGATCCAATCCAAGAACCAGCATTGATTGCATTTGATTGTCCTTTTTGTTGCCTTTAATCTGGAACAGGTTCGCAGCCTTTGTTTTCTGTAAGATTGGTTTTTTTGGAAAGTGTAAGAATTATTTATTGGAATGTTTCTCCATTTGGGTTTATCTTATGGATGCCTCTTCGTTAGATTGATTATGCCTTTTTGGCAGGAGCATGAGATGAGTGATGTGTGGTCTGCCGTGGGGAGGCACATGGTGTTGGTTTGTCAGATTATTGATGATATTAACTTGGATTACTTGGTTAAGATGGTGTCTACAGGATTTCTCCACTCTAACCTTTGTAATTAATACATAATTTGTAGGGAAATATTTTGAAACAGTAAATTGAGTCTTAGTACAAATTAAATATCTTTTCTCTTTTTTAGTATGATTTTTCAAATTTTGATCAGTCTAAATGTAAGAGAAGAACTCTAACCTCCCCAGGTAAGCCAGTATTTTGTATATTTGGGGGTTTCAAAAGTTTAATTTGAGGCCGGGCGCGGTGGCTCACGTCTGTAATCCCAGCACTTTGGGAGGCCGAGACAGGCGAATCGCCTGAGGTCAGGAGTTCGAGACCAGCCAGGCCAACACGGTGAAATCCCGTCTCTACTAAAAATACAAAAAATTAGCCGAGCTTGGTGGCGGGCGCCTGTAATCCCAGCTGCTGGAAAGGCTGAGGCAGGAAAATCCGTTGAACCTGGGAGGCGGAGGTTGTGGTGAGCCGAGAGGGCGCCACTGCACTCCAGCCTGGGCAACAAGAGCGAAACTCAGTCTCAAAAAAGAAAAAAATAATTTGAGAGAGAAGATTTTAAAACTAATATTATTCAGACTTGTGGCCAGTGCCAGATATTTTGTGATATATTGTTCTGGTAATCTTTCGTGGTTTATTTGTCGTTGACAGGTGATTTGGATATCTACTCTGGAGATAAAGTTGATTCATCATTAAAATATTCTGATGAAAGCAAGCATTGTAGAACACCATTGTGCAGCTTATTCAAGCGCGTAAATGTGAATTGGTAAAGTACCCTGAAACTTACTGTTGCTACCCCCTCAGTATCTCAAGAAACAGAGAAAGCGAAAAGGGCAAGTTATATTTTTGCTCTTTCCTGAGAACAAGTATAAGGCAGTCTGGAGCCTGCTAAATAGTTGAAGCGAGTCACTTACTAATTTTTACTGAGAATCTCTGTAATAAAAGCATAGACCTAGCATTATGTTTAGTGTAGCATAATGGAAAATTATTTATATAATGTAAAAGATGAAAAAATATTTTTATGGTTATTCATCCGGGACCCAAATGCAGACTCTGCTCCCTTTCTTTAAATAAAAATGTTTAGAAAAGGAACTATGGGCTGGGTGCGGTGGCTCATACCTGTAATCCCATCACTTTGGGAGGCCGAGGCGGGTGGTTCACCTGAGGTCAGGAGTTCGAGACCACCCTGGCCAACATGGTGAAACCCCGTTTCTACTAAAAATAGAAAAATTAGCCGGGCGTGGTGGTGTGCGTCTGGAATCTCAGCTACTTGAGAGGCTGAGGCAGGAGAATCACTTGAACCCAGGAGGTGGAAGTTGCAGTGAGCTGAGATTGCGCCATTGCACTCCAGCCTGGTTGACAAGAGCAAAACTCTGTCCTGAAGAAAGAAAAAAAAAAGGAACTACAAAAAAAACTGCCATACAAGTTTTGTTAGGCAGCAGCATTTTACTGTCTCTGGTGTGTCTGGTAGTGTGGTACACATTCTATTTAGGTGGTTGAGAGAGATTGAAGAAGGCAGTCTGGGGAGATGGGAACTACAGTGCTGGATTAAAAGAAGTTGCCATTCTGTAAGGAAGATACTATTTACTATGGGGAAAAAGTACAAAAAACAGTGGAAGCTAAGGTAAAATAAAGATCTAAGTTGGATATTATTTAATGCCAAAAATATGTGGCAGAAAGAAATGCTATGGGTATCAAGAAGGAGTAAGCATTTTGAAATAAAGATGTATATGTATATAAAATGAAATATTGAGATAATCGTGGAGAGAAAAAATAATTATACCTAAAGTATTATCTGTATGTTACTAACATAATTAGTATTTGGGAGCTTGACTTTTTTTTAATACAGTTTTCTGTTTCTCTTCTTAAATAAGTTAAATCTGTGTAATACACTGAACAGTTCTGGGTAAATAATAAGTACTCAAATGTTAGCTATTATCATTATTGTTATTACTGTCTCATTTTGCACTTACAAAATCTAGTTGATCTAGATTTAGGATTTAGACATGAGCTATGTTGAATGTAGGGTAAGGAAAGTGAAAATTGTTTTTAAGGTAATAAATTCATGGAAATTATTTTCTTTTTAACTGAATTTTATCATTTTTAAAATAATGACCTGGGTATAATTCTGAACTATAATCTAAAGGTTTTGGACTATGAAGATTTTCATAACATTGGACCCCTAGTTGTGATCTGGTCTGAAACTATGCTGTCCAGCACAGTAGCAACAGGCCACATGTATCTATTGAGTACTTGAAATGGGGCTGGTCTGAATTGACATATGCTGTAACTGTCATATACACACGGGCTTTCTAAGACTTAGCATAGATAACAAAAATTAGCAGGGCATGGTGGTGGGTGCCTGTAGTCCCAGCTACTCGGGAGGCTGAGACAGGAGAATTGCTTGGACCTGGGAGGCGGAGGTTGCAGTGAGCCAAGATCGTGCCACTGCACTACAACCTGGGTGATAGAGCGAGACTCCCTCTCAAAAAATAAATAAGCATGGATAAAATAATGTAAAATATCTTAATTTTGTGTGTGTGTGTATGTGGATTTGCAGGGTACGGGGTCATGCTCTGTTACCCAAGCTGTGAGTGCAGTGGCATAATTGTAACTCACTGTAACCTCCAACTCCTGTGCTCAAATGATCCTTTCACCTCAGCCTCCTGAGTAGCCGGGATTACATATGTGTACCACTACTCCTGGCTAATTTATTTTATTTAATTTATTTTTTTTTTTTTGTAGAGACGGAATCTCACTGTGTTGTCCAGGCTGATCTTGAACTCCTGGACTCAAGAGATACTCCCACTTCAGCCTCCCAAAGTGCTGAGATCACAGGCATGAGCCACCATGCCTGTTATATCTTAATAATTTTTAACATTGATTATATGTTGAAATGATAAACTTTTAGATATACTATATTAAATAGTATTTTTAAAAATTGTTTTTTAATGTGCTACCAGAACATTTTAAATTACCTATATGACTTGTGTTATATTGCTTTTGAACAATACTATTCTAGAAATTTCAACTCAGATTGTCTTTTTGGAGAGAACACCTGGGATTCTAGTTCTGCTCCACTTTCTACTTGTTATGTCACCCATCAGTTATTTGATTTCTTTAGGTTTAGTTTTCTTATGTTAAACATTCATTATTTTGGCTAAAACTACCTTATAAATAACAACAGATTATTGGGAGTCAAAATAAAGTGTTCCTCAGCTGTAGAGTGTACCACAGGTAGGTATATGTCATTTTAAGTTGTCTATTTAATGTGTAGAAAAATGTCTTGTAGTGGGTTATCAATGATCCGTGACTGTTACTTTTTACATTTTTCCTTTTTACATGTTTACATTTTGCAGTTTAAAAAATGTTTTTGCATTTTTTCTCAGTTGTTATGCTGTTAATATTTGAAAAGCAGTTTTATCTTTTTAAAATGCTGTAGTAAACTTCTAGATTGCTGTGATACAATTATTTTTTTAAAGCCTAGATGATGAACTGGATTCTTTCCATGATTTGAAGAAACAGGAAACAGAAGAAGAGTTAATTGAAAATGATTATAGAGTTAGTACCTCCAAAATAACCAAGCAATCTTTTAAAGAAATAGAAAAAGGTAAAATAAATATTTTAGAACAATTAATTAAGTAGTAACTTTGTCAAATAGAGTACATGAAGCTTTCCTCCTGGTAATAACACTGGCCCCCAAGAGTCTGCATATTTCTGTGTTCTGAACTTCTGTAAGCCAGGAGATAGTTACTGTGCTTATTATTAAATTAAAGGACCAGAGGAAATTAAACTTCATTATTTTTCAGTAATATTCCTGTACCCTCAAAATTTATCCAAATAAATTAGTAACTGAGTAAATGACTGTGATAGTATTGGACTACAGTATTTTGAGAAAATACTCCAGATTATTTAAAGTACGGCTTTCTGGGCACTGACCTACCAGCAGTTTTCTGTGTATCTGGCTGCATTGCATAGTTGTGGCAGGATTTCAAGGACTGGACAACCGCAAATGGCACCCTTCACCCTCTGGGCTACACGACTCCGAGTTGCCGTGTTGATATTACGGATAATAGAGGTGCCAGGATTATGGTCTACACACAACAACATTCATTTTCCTCTTTTCCTTCTCCTTCGTTTTCCTTTGTCTCATTGTTCTCAGCATTTGAGGGAGGTGAGAAATAATTCTGTCTGGACTTGTGTTTCCTGCTATATGGTCGATTTTCGCAGTGGAAAACATGGGATAAGGTATAAAGAAAATGTTGCTTGTATTCCATTAAAAGTAATGGTAAAAACCGCAATGACTTTTGCACCAACCTCATACTTGAAAGTAGACAAAATTAAGAAATGTTCAGGCCAGGGATTGGTGAGTCGGGAACCTAAACAGGCAAGTAGAGCTCTGTGAATATGCCTTTCACTTTTAGGGCATTTGCTGAACTGACTGAAGTGAAGCTTTTCATTTAAAAAAATTCATACTATGTTTTATTTTTGCTTCTCCATTGTCTGTTCATACTGAAGTATAATGGAAGACACCCACCCTCCCCTTTTAAAGCTGGGGCTTCCATGAGTCTAGTGCAAGTTAAAACCACTGAACGTCTGCCAGACGTGGTGGCTCACGCCTTTAATCCCAGCACTTTGGGAGGCTGAGATGGGCGGATCATGAGGTCAGGAGATCGAGACTATCCTGGCTAACATGGTAAAACCCCGTCTCTATTAAAAATACAAAAAATTAGCCAGACGTGGTGGCGGGCGCCTGTAGTCCCAGCTACTTGGGAGCCTGAGGCAGGAGAATCACTTGAACTCGGGAGGCAGAGGTTGCAATGAGCTGAGATTGTGCCACTGCACTTTAGTCTGGGCGACATAGTGGGACTCTCTCAAAAAAAAAAAAAAAAAAAAAAAAAAGGCGAGGCGTGGTGGCTTGTGCCTATAATCCCAGCACTTTGGGAGGCCGAGGCGGATGGATCATGAGGTCAGGAGATCGAGACGATCCTGGCTAACACGGTGAAACCCCATCTCTACTAAACAAAATACAAAAAAATTAGCTGGGCATGGTGGTGGGCACCTGTAGTCCCAGCTGCTTGGGAGACTGAGGCAGGAGAATGACATGAACCCGGGAGGTGGAGCTTGCAGTGAGCCAAGATAGCGCCACTGCACTCCAGCCTGGGCGACAGAGCGAGACTCCGTCTCAAAAAACAAAGACAAAAAAAGCAACCACTGAGCGAGGGCATTTTATACTCTTAATTGTTAGCAGAAAATAAATTCTGACAGTACAGTGTTGGCAAGAATATCAAGCAAGAGGAACTCACTTATCTACGCTGTTGGGAGAGTAAATTAATACAACCACTTTGGAAAACAATTTGGAATCACTGGTAAAGTTGAAACTGCATATATACCCTGTGATCTAGCAATTTTGCTACTACTTACATACCCTCAGGAAACTCTTAAACTTGTGCACCAGAAGCCATGTACAAGACTGTGTAGCATCTGTATAGCCAAAGCAGCTCAAATTTCCACCTGTAGGAGGACACTGTATACAGTGTTTGCAAAATAGGGTATACAGTGAAGATTTGTGAACCTGTTTAAAGGAAGAGGTTATAGAAATTATGTTAATATAATTACATATATAATATAAAAGCAGTCAAAGCAAGGACTTTTAAAATGGAAGTAGTGGAGATTAAACAGCAAAGTAAAGCAGCATTTAACATTCATTTGTGTTAGTGATACATTTGGTTTAGGGGAGAGAGGGGAACATGATTAGGGGTTTCTGAGGTTACTTTCCATTTCTTGGCAATTAGTGTCTTTTTATGTCCTTTAAAGTATTTTATTTTGAAATCATTTCAGACTTACAGAAAAGTTGCAAAAATAGTGCAGTCAATTCCTGTACACCCTTCACCCACATTTTCCGATGTTACCACTTTACCATATTTACTATATTATTCTTTGTCTCTCTTGAAACTTTTTAATGTTATAATTTGTATTTAAAGCATCTCTTCCTAAAGGTTACTCTGAAAATATTTGAAACAGTAAGTTAATAAAGTTTATAATGCAAATGTTATTTTCTTTGCAGTTGCCCTGCCAACTAATACGCCCTCATGGAGACCTCGGACTGAGTGTTGTAGTGATGCAGGTGACTCTCCTTTGAAACTTGTCAGCTGTCCCAAATCTAAAGCATCAGACAAGCGGAGTTTACTTCCACATCAGATCAGTCAGATATATGACGAATTATTTCAGATACATCTGAAACTGCAGGTAAGAACTAAACACTGAATCGAGAATTCAGAAATATTTATGTCCTAAGAACCAAACACTTACAAAATTTGTCTATATTTCATTTTAGTTACTTTAGATAAGTTTGTCAAGACAAGGACAACAGGGGACAAACTCAAATTATAGGGACTAAGGAAGGGAAAAATACAGTGGCTGAGATAAAATAGAGACGGTGGCGTTTTTATTTGTAGGTGTGTGTTTCAGACTGTCTTGTATTTTATTTGATTCCCATCCCATCCTGACTTCAGCGATAAAATCTGATAAAGTATGCTTTTTGAAGTAGATGCTCTAGCTTTATTGTTTTAAGTACTTATATATGAAGAGTCCTCTTGTCAACTCTCATCAAAATTGAACTCTTAACATTCGCTTATATCTGCCTTTGGGGTTTTTTTGTTTCTAAAGTGTATTTCTTTTTTTTTTTTTGCAATGGTGTCTTGTTCTGTCATCCAGGCTGGAGTGCAGTGGTGCGATCTTGGCTCACTGCAACCTCCGCCTCCTGGGTTCCAGTGATTCTCCTGCCTCAGCCTCCTGAGTAGCTGGGATTACAGGTGCATGCCACCCCGTCCAGCCAATTTTTTGTATTTTTAGTAGAGTTGGGGTTTTACCATGTCGGCTAGGCTGGTCTTGAACTCCTGATGTCAGGTGATCTGCCCCCGGTTGGCCTCCCAGAGTGCTGGGATTACAGGCGTGAGCCACTGCGCCCAGCCTAAAGAGTATAATTTATATATTAAGCATCCATGAGAAGTAGAGAAGGAAGCAAAAGTGTATGTAATGCACACCATCTGTTTGAAATCCTTCCCATTGGAAACACATGAAATAGTTAAGCATTTCTTTAAAACCAGTATCTTGTTTTGTCAAAATAATTCAGATTGTAATTACCATAGCATTTTAGAAAAAGATTATTTTAGCCTAAAATCACCAGAAAAAGTTTAGGGAGAGACTTAGTCTAGTCTTTGACTGAGAAAGATAATAGTGGGAAGGTCATTCCAGGTATAAGGAATTGTAAATGAGAGGTGTTCTGAAAAGCAGTGATTGTCCAATTGTGCATTTATTAATTAGCCTGTGTGAAGGAAAGAAAATGATGAAAACTCAGGCTGGGTATTTTACAAGTTTTTAGGGAAAGGAGTGTCAGAGTAAAAAGTCAGGTTTTAGGAAGATTCCTTTGATAACACTTTATAAGATAAAAAAGAATAGGCAAGATTGCAAGGATGTATCTGTCATTTGTAGCAAACATAAAGATGTTTAATAAGAAAAAAATGAAGTACAGTGGATTAACTGGTTTAATCAGTCTATAGTTTAATCTGACTTTAAAATTTACTTTGTAAGTGCAGCCACTGTGGAAAACACTTTGGAGGTTCCTTAAACTGTAAATAGAACTACTGTATGATCCAGCAATCCCATCGCTGGTATATCCCCCAAAAAAGAAAACAGTGTATCGAAGAGATACCTGCACTCCCATGTTCATTGCAACTGTGTTCATAATAACCAAAATATGGAGTCAATCTAAGTGTCCATTGGCAGATAAAGAAAATGTGGTATCTATACACAATGGAGTATTATTCAGCCATAAAAAGAATGAAATCCTATCATTCACGGCAGCATAGATAGAATTGGAGGTCATTATATTAAGAGAAATAAGCCAGGCACAGAAGGACAGACATTGCATGTTCTCACTTGTGTGGGGTGGGAACTAAAGAAATGGATCTCATAGAAATAGAGCTGGAATAGTGGTTACCAGAGGCTGGGAGGGGAAGGCTAGCAGGGGTGAAGAGAGGTTAGTTAATGGGTACAAAAATACAGTTAGATAGGAGTAAGTTTCAGTGTTTACTAGTACAGTAGGGAAATTATAGTTAATGATAATTTATCGTGTATTTTAAAGTAGCTAGAGAAGAAGAATTGTAATGTTCTCAACACAAAGAAAGAATAAATGTTTGAGGTAATAGATATCCCCGTCACCTTGGTGGGGATGTTGAGTAGACTCTTTAGACTTGACTTTGTCTTCTGTTTTTTTCCCTATGAAGTTAGAGACGAGGCTATTCACAGAGAGTGGTATATAGGACATGATGTATTCCAAATTAATAGAATGGAGAAGGCTCAAAATAGACACTTTGGAGAGTGAGCGAGCGAGAGCTGGCTGTGAACATATAAAAAGATTTTTGGACTGCATTGAGAATCTAGTACAGGATTGAGACCATGAATTTGCAATGGGGCCACTTTTCATGGTGTGTGATTTTTTTTTTTTTTCTCCAGTGGTACTGAACTGAGTAGCATGGGGCCGGGGAAGATAGTCAGTGTGCGAATCCAGGCCTCGTTCTTTCAGTCCAAGGTGATAGACAACAAGGTGAGGGAGGGAAGGGTATAGGTAAAATAGTGGACTGTGATGTGGAAGTAGAGCATGGAATTTAAACTGGATCGGGAACTAAATCTGCGTAGTGCTGATCCATTTTGGACCCCAGATTCTCTTGCATCATCGCAGTGGACTCTTACTATAGTGTGTTATCATTTAAAATCAAGATATAATTTCTGTACAAGTTTACTTGCTATACTAGTCTAGCTACTATAATCCAGATTGTCCTTAGGTACCCCTGTATTCCTGAAAACCACTGGGTTAAACCACAATGTTAGCCAATAGGAATATAATTTGCAGAATTTGTGACTTTTCAAGAGCATTAAAATCTGCCATTTTGATACAGTGTGAAACTGCAGCACAACAGAAGTTTGCTGAAGAACTTCAAAAGCGAGAACGTTTTTTACTTGAAAGAGAACAGCTGCTTTTCAGACATGAAGATGCCTTGAGTAAAATTAAAGGTGTGGAAGAAGAGGTTCTTACAAGATTTCAAATTATGAAAGAGGTAACTGTATAGCCTTTGATGTTAAAGTGGTATATTTCTTCTTTTCTTCTTAGATTCACTAGTTACTAACATTTTGCCACATTTGCTTTTTTCTCCTTCCCTTCCTTCTCTCCACACCTACACATACACACACACACACACACACACACACAGACATACACACAGACATGCTTTTTTCTGATCCATATGAAAGCAGTTTGTAAAAATCATGGTTCTGTCACTAAGTACCTCAGTATGTAACTCCTAAGAATAAAGACATTCTCCAGACTATTAGCATATCAGGAAATTAATGCTAACTAAATAACTTATTTATAGTCCATATTTACTTTTTCAGGTGGTCTTCAGTATGTCTTTTATTGTTTGTAGGGGTGGGTCATTTGTTTGATCAAGGAACTAGACAAGATTCGTGCGTTATATTTGGTGGTTATATCTTTTTTGGTTTCTTTGAATCTAGAGCACTTAACCTCAGCTTTTTTGTTTTTCGTGAGCTTTTCCTTTGAAGAATTCAGGCCAGAAGTCTTATATGTCACATTGTGGATTTTCCTGATTGCTTCCTAACGATAAAATATTTTTGACAAGGATATTATATAAGTGGGATAATATACCTTGCTTCATATCAAGACATACATTACTATACATATAACTTACTTGGAGTAAAATTCATTGTCTGTTGTACATTTCTGTGAGTTTTGAAAAATGCATACAGTTTTGTAATCACAACCATCATCAAGATCAAGAATAGTTCAGCTCACCAGCAGTTCCCTTACGCTCTCTTGTAGCTATCCCTTTCCTTCAGCCTCAGCCCCTGGCAACCACTGACCTGTTTTCTGTCCCAGTACATCTGCCTTTTCCAGAATGTCATGTTAATAGCATCATTTTATGATTTTTCTTTGTCTTTGGTTTTCAGTAGCAGTTTATTTACAGTGTTTCTTGACATAGTTTTCTTTCAGTTTGTTCTGTTTGTGGTTAACTGAGCTTCTTGAATTTGGAAATGTCTGTCTTTTGCCAAATTTGGGGAATCTTCAGCCAATATTTCATGAAATATTTTTTCCACTTTCTTGTCTCCTCCTGGATCTCCAGTGACTCCTTGTGCTGTTTCCCCACAGATTTCTGAGATTCCGTTCCTTTTTTCCCATTATTTTATTCAGTGTTCTTCAGATAATTTCTTGATCCATCTTAACGTTCATTACTTCTTTTTTAATCTCCATGTTGCTATTGAGCCCATCTAGTGAAATTTTTGTTTTTGATATTTATACATTCTAAAATTTCAAGTTGTTTAAAGCATTCATTTTTGTTTTTCTCATAAGCATTTCTGTGTTTATATTTACATTTATATATATTTACTTTTACCTCATGAAGCATAGTTTAAAAACTATGTATCACCTGTATCATCTCGAGATTGGGATCTGTTGATTATCTTTTTTCTTGAGGGTTAGTCACATTCTTTGGTTCTTGGTATGTTTGGTGATTTTTAGGGTATATTCAAGACCTTCTGGTTAATGTATAGATTTTGGGTTCTATTGTTACCCTCTGGAGAATGTTGATTTTAAAGCATTCAGCCCAATAAGATTTAGGCTTCCCTTTTTTTTTTTTTTTTTTTTTTTTGAGCCAGTCTCGCTCTGTTGTCCAGGCTGGAGTACAGTGGTGCGATCTCAGCTCACTGCAACCTCCACCTCCTGGGTTCAAGCGATTCTCCTACCTCAGCCTCTTGAGTAGCTGGGAATACAGGCGCCCACCACCATGCCCGGCTAATTTTTTGTATTTTTAGTAGAGATGGGGTTTCACCATGTTGGTCAGACTGGTCTTGAACTCCTGACCTCAAGCAATCCACCTGCCTTGGCCTACCAAAATGCTGGAATCACAGGCGTGCCTGGCCAGGCCTCAGTTTTTCCTCACCTCCTCTGGGCAGTGGCCCTCATCTCAGTTCAGCTTTCAAAGCCTTTGCAGTGTTGCTGTGGAGTTGTCTTGTGCCTGTGCCTCTTAAAGGTCGGTCTGAGACTTGGGTAACAGTTTAAAATCCTGATGCATTTCTCAAAGCTTTTGCGGTGCTGCTCTGGGTGTTTTTTGTGCGGGTAAAGAGGCATTGAAGTGTTAGCCAAGACTTAGGTAATGGTTTTAAACTGAGCTCCATTCTCCAAGCGTTTGCTCTACTGCTTTTGGTCTGTCCTGTGCCTGAGCGGCTCAAAGGTGAGCCCAATTTGTACAGGTTCGTAAACACCAGAGCGAGAGGATCCTCTTTGAGTCTCTCTTCTGCGGGATTCTCCCTACACTCTGGCTCGTAGGGGCCCCTCTTCCTGATTTTCCTGCAGGAAGACTGGTTTTCTCTCATTCTTCAGTGGACATGTTTTAGAGCTTTAGTGGAAATTAAAAAAAAAAATTTTTTTTTAATTGTTTTAGAGACTGAGTCACTGTGTTGCCCAGGCTGGAGTGCAGTGGCTATTCACAGACGTCCTCATAGCTCACTGCACCCTCAAGTCATCTTCGTCCCTCAGCCTCCTGAGTGGCTGGGACTATAGATGTGTACCACTGTGCCCAGCTAGTGTAAGTTTTTGTTCTACTTCTCCGTGTCTGGGACCCACCCTGAGGCAAAATGTTGACAGAAGAGGAAAAACAAAAATGCAGGAAACTTTACCCTTGAGAGTTGCTTCAACAAGTTTGCTCTCCCATCACAATGTCCTCCCCTTTTTTCTTTTCACAGTTGTCAGTTAGTTGTTTTGTTTTAATTAGGGCTTTTCGCTGTAATCAGTGGGAGAAGACTGTATTGAGCTTATCCTGCTGTGCCAGAAATGGAATGCATATGTTTTTAATATCTTTTAGATATGGAAAAAGTTGGACAATGAGAATATTAGTTTTAAAAATAACTATTTGTGACTATATCCCAAGTTATTAAAGGAATTAATATAGTAAAATCATACAAAGATTAACTTCTTAGAATATTGGATTTTTTTCATAGGGCTAAAGGATGCTTAGATTCTCTGATCTCCATTTTAGTCGTGTTCTTGATTCTCTCTCTTTAGATTTGTGTATCTATTTTATTAAGTATAAAGATAATTGCCTTATTTTCATCATATTTATATCATTACTTGGAAGAAGGGAATTAATTCAGTTTTTTTATTTCCTGTAGAGACTTGTTTTAAAACTTTGTGAGTAGGTTGAGAGTGAAAGGTGAAACTATTAAGTGTTCGCATTTAAAATCTAAAACATGCTATCCCATTTAAATGTAATTAGAGGGGAAGTTGATTTGAGTTATTTTTAAAACTGATTAAGAAGAGTCAAATCGTTTGGGGCTCAGAAATTGTATTATGTATTTAACATGTTTTGAAATGAAAAGCAGGCATCAAAAATTTTAGCTGCTTTATGAGGACAAGAAATTAGTTGGTTTTATAAAAGATTTCTTTTATTTCTCAAGGGTAATGTAAATTATACACTTTATAAAGCCATAAATAGCTTACTTATCTCTTGAAGAGTATCAGAAATTCTTTATTGTTTTATTATTCCATGATGTCAAACAAAATATTTCTGTGAGTTTGTGTGAGTGGATTTTTCTGAGCAGAAGCAGAAAATAGACTTACTGCTACTTTGTAAATGCTCATATGTTTTAATAAGTGTGTTGTAAATGCCTTTGATGTTTTGTTGTTATCTTGGTAGATTGCATGGTTTTTATAAATTATTTGCCACACTAGTCACTTGTGCTTAAATACGCTGATTAAAGGTTTTGTGATTGAAGGAGTTCTTACTTGTAATTAATTCATGTTTCATAGTATTGGTGATGTACAATCCTTACAAGTTTTAGGTCAGAGTTGTTTCTTTTTTCTCCTCCTAGCAACATGATGCAGAAGTTGAACACTTAACTGAAATTCTTAAAGAAAAGAATAAAGAAACCAAGAGACTGAGGTCCTCTTTTGATGCATTGAAAGAATTGAATGATACCTTAAAAAAACAGGTAAGACCTGTTTTAATGTATATTGGACATAAGACATTCTAAGAACCATATTTTATATACAACAAATTAAAGTCAGCCTTAGAACACGTTTCGGCTAGAGAAAATTTGGATTACATTTGTTAGCTTTATTTTAAAATACTTCCAAATGTAAATAAAATATTCTTCAACTCTTTGGTTTCTTTCTTTCTTTGTTCTGCAACCAACTGACAGGCAAAGGAAAAAAAGACAAGCAAAAGAAAAAAACCTGATAACCTGAGAACTAATTACATTTTTAGGTAGTGATGTCTGGCTTCAATACTTATTATTTATCACTACTTATTTAACATTCATTTATTTTTGAGTGTCTATTATATCCTAGGCATCTTGCTAGACTCAGACCTTCACATTGCTCGTGTTCTCATGGTTATAAACTGGTATCACATTGCAGTATACTTAAATAAGTATTGTAGGCCGGGCACGGTGGCTCATGCATGTAATCCCAGCACTTTGGGAGGCCAAGACGGGTGAATCACGAGGTCAGGAGATCGAGACCATCCTGGCTAACACAGTGAAACCCTGTCTCTACTAAAAATACAAAAAATAAATTAGCTGGGCGAGGTGGTGGGCGCCTGTAGTCCCAGCTACTCGGTAGGCTGAGACAGGAGAATGGTGTGAACCCAGGAGGCGGAGCTTTCAGTGAGCCAAGATTGTGCCACTGCACTCCAGCCTGGGCGACAGAACGAGACTCCATCTCAAAAAAAAAAAAAAAAAAAAATTTAAAAGCATTGTAATTTAGATTAATACATAATATCAGAGTTGCATAACATAAATATTTTTGTGAGTTATGTCTATTTTTTTCCTTCCCTCTGCCAGTTTTTGGCAGAAAGATGGGAAAGTAAAGGAGTATGTTAAAGAGAGACAAGAGAATGATTATGCATTTTTTAGATTGTGTGGGGAGTAGATGTTGGAGCAGAAATTGGAGTAAACCCCGTCACTTTGAAAATGAAAGCATTGGACTGGGAATCTGTACGGATTATAAAATGTAACTTAAGCCTCAGACTCTCCCGGAGTTCCTTTGCCAGCTGTCCTTTTCTGTTTCTGCTTTTGTTTCCCTTTAATCTCTACTTGTTGTGATCCTCCTCCTTGGCAGTGATACATAGGTGCCCTGTTTCTCACCTGATTCTAATTCTTTGGCTTTCCTCAGTTCATTTATGACTGTTACTATTGGACTATGAATTTGATGGCCTGTTGTCTGTTTGGAATCCCACTTTATCCCTGGAGAGACCACTTTTTCTCATTACAGTCTCATTCTACCACTCTCTCGTGAGGATTTTAAGAATTCCTAGCTAGATAAACTGTTGCCCATACCCATCTCTTAGGTTTCTGTAATCCTTAATAATTTTGCATGTGGTTGCATGTGTGTGTGGTAATTGGGGTGGATATGTGAATTATTAAATATTTGGACCTATTGGTAATTGGATTTATGAGCTAATGTGTACAAACTGAAAAAATGTGGCAGAATGCTTTTTTATGGTTTCTTTGTTAAGAATAGATCAGAGGTCAGCACACTTTTTCTGTTAAGGACTAGATAGTAAGTATTTTGGGCTTTGTAGGCCATGTGGTCTCTCTTTCAGTGACCCAGCTCTGCCATCATAGTGCAGAAACAGCCATAGGCAATAAGTGAATGAGTGTGGCTGTGTTCCAAAACGACTGTATTTATAAAAACAAACCATGGGCATATTTAGCCAGCTCCTGGCCAGATGAATGACATGTACTTTGAAATTGCTGAAGAAAAAGATATGTTATTTCTGTGACTGACTTACACAGTAATTTATGCTAACACTGGATATACATTTTCTAATAATTTAAAAGCATTTCTCATTAAGTCTAGCCGAACTGAGGAGGCAAGGATTAATGTTCAAGCCTCATCATGGGGAGATAGTCCCAGTGAACACCCCAAGATCTCAGTTGAAAGGAGCAGGCTTGTGCCTTGGGACTGGGTGAATTAGAGGGAGACAGAACTTTCTTAAATTGAAACCTGGCCTTGATTAAGTGCAGTTCCTGATCAGATTAAGGTGCTTACTCCTCAGTTTAAATGCCTAGCAGAGGAAAATATGTCTTTCATTCTATACAAAATGAGTAAGCATATCAAAAGACAGAATTGCATAACTCAAAATGAAGAAGAAAACCCCAGAGAATATAAACGTACTTGCAAGTGATCCGCATTTAACAGGCAATGACTTTAAAATAATGATTAATATGTTCAAGAAAGTAAAAAGATAGATTGACAACTTCATTAGAGAATTCCTAGCGTAGGTACATTTTTGCCTATATAGTAAGTCTGTGGAAAGGAATTAAATTGAAATTTGAAAACTAAAAAACACATCAGTTGAATTTAAGAATTCCATCGAATGGGGTTTTAAAATTATTTTTAATTGACATAATTGTGCATAATTATGGGGTACAGTGATATTCGATACAGTAATGTGTAATGATCAGAGTAATTAGCAAATCCATCAACTCAACATTTATCATTTCTTTGTATTGGAAATATTCAAAATCCTCTCTTTTTCTATTAGAAAATATACCATAAATTGTTGATTGTAGTTACCCTGTAGTGCTGTAAAGCTAGAACTTACTTCTCCTATCTAGTTCTTCTTTTTGTTTTGTTTTGTTTTGTTTTGTTTGAGATGAGTCTCACTCTGTTGCCCAGGCAGGAGTGCAGTGACGTGATCTTGGCTCACTGCAACCTCTGCCTCCTGGACTCAAGCGATTCTCCTGCCTCAGCCTCCCAAGTATCTGGGTTTTCAGGCACCCACCACCACACCCGGCTAATTTTTGTATTTTTAGTAGAGATGGGGTTTCACCATGTTGGCCAGGGTGGTCTCAAACTCCTGGCTTCAAGTGATCCACCTGCTTCTTGGCTTCCCAAAGTGCTTGGATTACAGGCCTGAGCCACTGCACCCGACCCCCCTATCCAATTCTAATTTTGTGTCTGTTAACCAACTTCTCTCCATTCCTCCCTTTCCACAGCCTTCGCAACCTCTAATAACCAATATTCTGTACTTCTGTGAGATCAACTTGTTTTTTAGCTTCCACATGAGTAAGAACATGTGGTATTTATCGTTCTGTGCTTGATTTATTTCACTTAACATAAGGTCTTTCAGGCTCATCCATGTTGCAGCAAATAACAAGATTTTGTTCTTTTTCATAGCTGAATAGTATTTCATTGTTTATGTGTACACCACATTTTCTTTATAAATTTATCTATTGATGGACACATGGGTTAGCGACTTTCCATACTTTGGCTATTGCAACTACTACTGCAGTAAACATGGGAGTGCAGATATCACTTCAATATACTGATTTTCTTTCCTGTGAATATATACCCAGAAGTGGTATTGCAGGATCATGTGGTAGTTATGTTTTTAGTTTTTTGGGGAACCTGAATACTGTTTTTCGTAATGGCTGTGCTAATTTACATCCCCACCAACAATGTAAAAGCATTTTCGTTCTCCACATCATCACCAACGTTTATTACTTTTTGTCTTCTTCGTAGCCATTCTAACTGGCATGAGATTGATACCTGATCATGGTTTCGATTTGCATTAACCTGATGATTAGTGATACTGAGCATTTTTTCATATACCTGTTGACTGTTTGTATGCCTTTGTTTGAGAAATGTCTATTCAGATTATTTACCCATTTTTTTATTTGGATTTTGTTTTTTTTTTTTTTTTGCTATTGAGTTCCTTGTATTGTCTGGATTTTCATCCTTGTTGGATGAATAGTTTGCATATATTTTCTCCTATTCTGCAGGTTATATCATTTTTCTTTTTATTGTTTCCAATCTCATTTGTCTGTTTTTGCTTTTGTTGCTTGTGCTTTTGAGGTCTTATCCATAATATCTTTGCCCAGGCGAGTGTCCTGAACTATTTCCCACTTTTTCCTCTAGTAGTTTCATAGTTTTGGGTCTTATATTTCAAAGTCTTTAATTCATTTTGGGTTGATTTTTGTCTGTGATGAGAGATGGGGTCTAGTTTTATTCGTAGGCATATGGATATCCATTTCCCAGCACCATTTGTTGAGGAGACTGTCATCTCCCTTATTAATGCTCATGGCACCTTTGTAGAAAATCAGTTGGCCATAAGTGTGTGGATTTATTTCTGAGTTCTCTATGCTGTTCCATTAGTCTATGTGTCTGTTTTTATGCCAGTACTATGCTGTTCTGATTACTACAATTTTGTAGTATATTTTGAGTTTAGTGTGATGCCTCTGACTTTGTTGTTTTCACATAGGATTGCTTTTGCTTATTTGGGGTCTTTCATAATTTCATACACATTTTAGGATTTTTTTCTGTTTCTGTGAAGCATGTAGTTGGTATTTTAATAGACATTATGTTGAATCTATAGATGACTTTGGTTATTTTGACAGTATTAGTTGTTCCAGTCCATGAACATGAAATATCTTTTCTTTTTTTGTGTGTGATCTTCAGTTTCATTCATCAGTGTTTTATAGTTTTCATTGTGGAAATCTTTTACTTCCTTGATTAAATTTATTCCCAGGTATTTTATTTTATTTTTGTAGCCATTGTAGACAGGATAGATTTTTTTATTTCTTTTTCAGTTAGTTTGTTAGTGTTTGGAGATGCTACTGATTTTTGTATTTTGATTTTGTGTCCTTCAACTTTACTGAATTTATCAGTTCAAAGAAATTTTTGGTGGAGCCTTTCAGTTTCTTTGCATTGAAGATCATGTCATCTGCAAAGAAGGACAATTTGACTCATTTCCAATTTGTTTTTTTGTTTGTTTGTTTGTTTTTTGGAGATGGAGTCTAGCTCTGTTGCCCAGGCTGGAATACAGTGGCACGATATCTGCTCACTGCAACATCCACCTCCTGGGTTCACGCCATTCTCCTGCCTCAGCCTCTTGAGTAGCTGGGATTATAGGCATGCGCCACCACATCTGGCTAATTTTTGTATTTTTAGTAGAGACGGGGTTTTGCTGTGTTGGCCAGGCTGGTCTTGAACTCCTGGCCTCAGGTGATCTGCCTGCCTTGGCCTCCCATATTGCTGGGATTACAGGCATGAGTCACCACACCCAGCCTGTTATTTCCAATTTGGATGTCTTTTATTTCTTTTTCTTACTTAATTACTCTGGCTAGTGCTTCTAGTACCATGTTGAACAAGAGTGGTGAGAATGGGCATCCTTGTCTTGTTCTAGTTCTTAGAGGAAAAATTTTCAGCTTTTCCCTGTTCAGTATGATGTTAATTGTGGGTTTGTTATACATAGCTTTTAATGTGTTGAAGTACATTCCTTCTGTACCTAATTTTTTGAGAGTTTTTACTGTGAAGAGATGTTGAATTTTATACTTTTTCTGTGTCTATTGAAGTGATCGTAAGGTTTTTATACTTCATTGTTATTCTGTTAAAACGTGATATATCACATTTTTTTATTTGCATATTTGAGCCTTCCTTGTGTCCCTGGGATAAATCTCACTTGGTTATGGTATATTATCTTTTTGGTGTGTTGTTGAATTTGGTTTGCTAATATTTTGTTGAGGATTTTAGCATCTATGTTCATCAGGAATATTGGCCTGGAGTTTTCTTGTTGTGTCTTGGTTTGGTTTTGGTATCAGGGTAATGCTGGCTTTGTACAATGAGTTTGGAAGAATTCTCTACCCTTGAGGTTTTTGGGATAGTCTGAGAAGAATTGGTATTTGTTCTTTAAAAGTTTGAATTCAGCAGTGAAACCATTTATTGAATTTAAAAGTACAGTTCAGCAGTAAAGCCATTTAGTTTGGGCTTTACTTTGCTGGGAAACTTTTGACCACGATTCAATCTTGTTACTTGTTATTGGTCTGTTCTAGTTTTCTATTTCTTCCTGATTCAGTCTTGGTAGGTTTTATGTGCCTAGGAATTTATCCATTTCCTCTGGGTTTTCCAGTTTGTTGGCATATAGTTGTTTCATAATGATCTCTGTAGTCTCTAGTGATCCTTGTATTTCTGTGGTACCACTTGTAATGTCTCCTTTTTTGTTTCCGATTTTATCTATTTGGGTCTTTTCTCCTTTTTTCTTTTCTTTTTTTTCTTTCTTCTTTCCTTCTTCCCTTCCTTCTCTTGGTACTATTTCTTCTCTTCGTTTTCTTTCTTTCTCTCCTTTTTTTTTTGTTTTGACTGTCTCCCTCTGGTTCCCAGGCTGAAGTGCAGTGGCATCACCACAGCTTGCTGTAACCTTAACTTCCAGGACTTAAACCACCCTTCTACCTCAGCCTGCTTAGTAGCTGGGACTGCAGACGTGCGCCACCAGCTCTGGTTAATTTTTTAAATTTTGTTGTAGAGATGAGATCTTACTGTGTTGCTGAGGCTGGTCTTGAACTGGGCTCAAGTGATCCTCCTGCCTCACCCTCCCAAAGTGCTGGGATTACAGGTGTGAGCTACTGCACTCAGTCTCTTCTTTTTTTCTTAGTCTAGCTCATGGTTGGTTTGTTTTTTTATGTTTTCAAAAAGCTACTTTTCATTTTTTAAGAAAATTATTTTAGATTCAGAGGGTACATGTGCAACTTTGTTACATGGATATATTGTCTAACAGTGAGATCTGGGCTTCTAAAATGTACTCTTCACTCAAATAGTGAACACTGTACCCAGTAGGTTAATTTTCAACACCTACCCCTCTCCCCCCTTCCCTTTTGGAGTCCCCAGTATCTGTTATTTCCATGTTTATGTCCATATGTGTATACCTGTTGTTTATCTTTGACTTATAAGTGAGAACATACAGTATTTAATTTTCTGTTTCTAAGTTATTTCACTTAGGATTAATGACCTACAGCTCCATCCATGTTGCTGCAAAAGACATGATTTCATTCTTTACTATGGCCACATAGTATTCTATTCATGGCATATCTATATCATAAATTTTATTGTAAGATACCATAAGTAATATTATAAAAAAGCAATTGGATACCCAGGAATAAATCTAAAGAGAGATATGCAAGACATCGCTACTGAAAACTACAAAACATTATTAAAAGAAAATAAAACCTAAATAAATTGAAGATATGTTCATGTATAGGAAGACTCAATATTGTAAATATGTCAGTTCTTCCATACATATACATATCAGTATACACACACACACACACACACACACACAATCCCAGTAATGCAATCCCAGTTATAGCTCATTGTACTGCATACTTAGCATTTTATACTTTTGTTTATATATGTTATAGTTCTAATAACAATTTACTTATTAATAAAAGCATTTTCCACTAAAATATATGTATATGCTTTTAAGACGTCTGGAGTCTTGTACATTTTTCATAAGATGAAGTAAATTATCTTACAGATCATTAATATTTTAGGGAAAAATGGCAACTTCAGTTGTGATCTAAGTTAATCATGAATGCTGTCTTTGTTTTGTTATGTTGGTTACTAATATAGACCACATTAGATAGTAGATTGAGAAACCCTTAGTATGAAACCAGTTGAAGGTTTATATTGAAATATCTAACTTTTTCTACCCTTTAGTTGAATGAAGCAAGTGAGGAAAACAGGAAGATGGACATTCAGGCGAAAAGAGTTCAAGCTCGTTTAGATAATTTACAGGTAAGTTGCCTGTTCTCTACAGACACAAGTATATTTTTAGATGATTGCCTTTGAGTTTACTCATTTTGATACAATTGTCCTTTAATTCATGCATATGTATTGTTGCAGAGGAAGTACGAGTTTATGACAATACAGAGATTGAAAGGAAGTTCCCATGCTGTTCATGAAATGAAAAGTTTAAAACAAGAAAAAGCACCAGTTTCAAAAACTTACAAGGTATGATATGATTGAAAATTTCTCCAATGGAAAGCCAGGAAGATTTCTCTTGTGCTTTAATCGTTTCTCTTTGAAAAGAGAAAGGATTCACCATAATAGTTTTTTAATAGGGAAATATCTCAAGAATATTTAAACTATACTTTCATTTGCAAAAACAAAACTATTATATTTTGGCAGTGTTTCAGGTACAGTATCATTGACACTTCATTCGTGGCTTTATTGCTTAGTATGTTTTGACACTCCACAAGCATTTGCTATTTTTCAGTCAAGACTGCAACCCGTCCCTGAATGGATTTCCGTGTATCTTTTTTTCCCTAAGAATTTGTAAAATTTGAGATATAAATTACATATGGTAACATAACGCACAAATCCTGTAGCGTAAAGTTTGATTAATTTTGATAAATATTTCATGTTGCCTACAACCAAATGTAGAATATTTCCACTGTCCTAGAATATGGAACTTTTGACTATCTTAGGAAGTTCTCTAATGTCCTTTCCTGGTCATTCTTTTCTGCCAGAAGTTTTGCAGAAATTAGTTTTGCCTATGTGAGACATTTGGTCAGTGGAATTGTATTGTGTGTACTTGTTTGTGTAAGGCTTTTGTCAGCATAATTATGAGTGTATCAGTAGTTTGTTCCCTACTATTGCTCAATAGTTTTTCATTGTATTAATGTATCAGAGTTTGTTCCTTCATTCTTCTGTTGATAGACACCTGGGCTTTTTCTAGTTTTTGTCTGCAATAAATAAAGCTGCTACAAATATTGATGTGCAGGGTTTTTATGGACATATGTTTTCATTTGTTTTGGATATATACCAGGACTATAATCTCTGGGTCATAAGGTAGATAAAGGTAGATGTATGTTTTTAAGAAACTGACAGTTTTCCAAATTGGTTGTACTGTTTTATACTCCCATTAACAGTGTATCAAAGTTTTGGTTGCTCCACAACCTTGTCAACATTTGGTGTTTTCAATTTTGTTCATTTTGACCCTTCCAATGGGTGTGTAGTAGTATCTTATTATTATGGGCTTTGATCATTTAGATATTTTGATACATTTTCTAGTTCTTTATAAATTGAGAAAATTGGAGTAAATTGAAAAGGTACAGATTTTATATTCAGGGACTGAAGATAATTGAAGTTTTCATCTAAAGGGAGTTAGTTTCTATTTGAAAAAAATTGAGAAAGTGAAAAATTGCTCTTCAGAATAATGCAGTAATGCTACTATTTATCATTTTGTCTTTATTCATTCTGATTTTGTGGATTGCCATTGACTTAATGTTGCCTTTTTATTAATTTGCTTTTATATTTCTCTGTCTTTGAATTTTTTTGTTTTTTCATTTTTTAATTTATTAATATTTTTAATTTTTTTTTTTTTTTTGAGATGGGGGTCTCACTCTGTCACCCAGGCTGGAGTGCAGTGGTGCAACCTTGGCTCACTGCAGCCTCTGCCTTCTGGGTTCAAGCCTCCTGAAGAAATGGGATTACAGGCACCCACCACCATACCTGGCTATTTTTTGTATTTTTAGTAGAGACAGGGTTTCACCATGTTGGGTAGGCTGGTCTCGATCTCCTGACCTCAGGTGATCCAGCTGCCTCTGACCCCCAAAGTGCTGGGATTATAGGCATGAGCCACCATGCCCGGCCTGCAGATTAAAAAAAACAAATAAATTTAACATAGTTCCCTGCTTAAGGTGGATATGTGTAGTGGTATCTTATTTTTAAAAAATTGAATTAAATTAGAAATGTGTTTTGTAATAATACTTAAAATTAGTCTAATTAAATTTATAAATTACTTTGTTATTTTACTTTTCATTTTGGTAGACTCCCGGAGGACAAGATTTCTAGGGAAAAAAAGTTCATATGTGTATTGAATGATATACTGGAAAGACAAAGTAACAATTTTTGTGAGAAGAAAAAGATAGGAAGTTTCATAGTGGAAATTCTTTAGCTCTGGAAACCTTTAATTTTTTTTAGTATTTCAATTGTGGTAGGTTCATGCTCTTAAGGCTAATTTTACTTTTTTTCCATCTTATCAAACTTGGATAAAGAATTTTTATGAAAAGTTTTAGTAATAAGGTACAAGTTATTTCAACTTCCTAATTATGATGACTTTTCTTGCCTTCTCTCAGTCATCATTTAACATGTTTTTAATATTAGATGGGGAGGTTTCTGTGTTTGTTTTTTTTTGTTGTTATTTTTTCTTTTTTGAGATGGAGTCTTGCTCTTTTTCCCAGACCTGTGTGCAGTGGTGCAATCTCGGCTCACTGCAGCCTCCACCTCCTGGATTCAAGTGATTCTCCTGCCTCAGCCTTCCAAGTAACTGGGATTACAGGCATGCGCCACCATGCCCAGCTAATTTTTGTATTTTTAGTAAAGACAGGTTTCACCATGTTGGCCAGGCTGGTCTCGAACTTCTAGGGAACTTCAGGTGATCCACCCACCTCAGCCTCCCAAAGTGCTGGGATTGCAGGCTTGAGCCACAGCACTAGGCAAGTTGGGAAACTTTGATTTTGAATTTCTTTTGTTTGGAGAAGCTCTGTCCTTAACATATTTTAGTGAATTACTTTAGTCAAATTATTCTTTAATTATTTACCAAATTTAAGACTTGTCTTTGAAGTTTTATGAAGTTGTGAACTGAAATGAATGATTTAATTTTTGACATATAGGTACCACTTAATGGGCAAGTTTATGAACTTTTAACTGTCTTCATGGACTGGATTTCGGATCATCATCTTAGCAAAGTGAAACATGAAGAATCTGGAATGGATGGTAAAAAACCACAACTCAAATTCGCTTCCCAGAGAAATGATATTCAGGAGAAGTGTGTAAAGGTTTGTTTTTTAATTTGAAATATGTGACTCAGAATATATGAAGATTAAAAAAGGGAAAAGCCAGGGCCAGGCACAGTGGCTCATGCCTGTAATCCCAGCACTTTGGGAGTTCAAGGTGGGCCGTTCACCTGAGGTCGGGAGTTCGAGACCAGCCTGGGCAACATGGTGCAATGGGCAACCCTGTCTCTACTAAAAATACAAAAAAATAGGTGGGCATCATGGCACGTGCCTGTAATCTCAGCTACTTGGGAGGCTGAGGCAGGAGAAACGCTTGAATCTGGGAGGTGGAGGTTGCAGTGAGCTGATATTGCACCACTGCACTCCATCCTGGGCAACAGAGCAAGATTGTTTCAAAAGAAAAAAAAACGAACAAATTTGAGGGGCTGCCTCTGATGAGGCCCTTCTTCCTGGTCTCCTGCAGAGTCCAGAGGTGATGCAGGGTATCACATGGCTGGGGGCTGAGTGTGCTAGCTAAGGTCTCTCTCCCTTTTATAAAGCCACCAGTCCAATTCCCATGATAATCCATTAATCCATTAACCCTTGGATGAATTAATCCTTTCATGAGGGCATCCCTCATAACCCGGTCACCTTTTTTTTTAAAAAGCTTTGTTTTGGAGATGGGATCTCCTCGTGTCACCGAGGCTGGAGTGCAGTGGCCCAGTCATTGCTTACTGCAGCCTCCAAGCTCCTAGCCTCAAGCAGTCTTCCTGCCTCATCCCTTTGAGTAGGGACTACAGGTATATACCACTTTGCCCAGCTAATTTTTTTCCTTTTTCTTTTGAGACGGAGTCTCACTCTGTCGCCCAGGCTGGAGTGCAGTGGTAGGATCTCAGCTCACTGCAAGCTCCGCCTCCCGGGTTTACGCCATTCTCCTGCCTCAGCCTCCCAAATAGCTGGGACTACAGATGCCCGCCACCTCGCCTGGCTAGTTTTTTTGTATTTTTTAGTAGAGACAGGGTTTCACCATGTTAGCCAGGATGGTCTCGATCTCCTGACCTCGTGATCCGCCCGTCTCAGCCTCCCAAAGTGCTGGGATTACAGGCTTGAGTCACCACGCCTGGCCTGCCCAGCTAATTTTTAAAAAATTTGTATAGAGATCAGACCTGGCTTCCTTGCACAGGATGGTCTTGAACTCCTAGCTTCAAGCATTCCTCCTGCCTTGGCCTCCCAAAATGTTGTCATTACAGATGTGGGCCACTGTGCCTGGACCCAGTCACTTCTTAAAGGCCCCACTTATCAATACTGTCATATTGGAAATTAAGTTTCAACATGTCTTTTGGAGGAAACAAACATTCAAACCATAGCACATGGCAAAAGGGAATTAAAGTTGCTAATCAGCTGACCTTAAAATAGGGAGATTATATAGGATTATGTGGGTGGTCTTAGTAATCACATAAACTCTTTAAACCAGAAGGATTCAGAAGAGTAGACCAGAGACTCACCCCACTCTCGCTGGCTTTTGAAGATGGAGAAATAGGGCCATGAGACATGGAAATCAGATAATCTTTTTTTTTTTTTTTTTTTTTTTTGAGATGGAGTTTTACTCTGTCGCCAGGCTGTAGTGCAGTGGTGCCATCTTGGCTCACTGCAACCTCTGCCTCCCGGGTTCAAGTGATTCTCCTGCCTCAGTCTCCCAAGTAGCTGGGACTACAGGTGTGCACCACCACACTCAGCTAATTTTTGTATTTTTAGTAGAGACGGGTTTTCACTGTGTCAGCCAGGATAGTCTCAAACTCTTGACCTTGTGATCTGCCCACCTTGGCCTCCCAAAGCCCTGGGATTACTGGTGTGAGCCACCGTGCCCGGCCATCAGATATCTTCTAGAAGCTGGGAATTGCCCTTTGCTGACAGTCACAAAGGACATACAAATCTCAGTGCTCTAACTGCAGCAAACTGGATTCTGCATGCAACTTGAATAAGCAAGGAAATGAATCCTCCCTTAGCCTCTGGAAAGGAACACAGCTCTGAATATACATTGATTTTGGCTGGCTGAGACCCATATTAGACTTCTGAACCTACAGAAGTGTAAAATAATGAATTTGTGTTGTTTAAATGTTAAGTTTGTGGTATTTGTTATGGCAGCCATAGGACACAAATACACCTTTGTTTAGAATTTTGTCTCTTAGTACCTACATCAATTATTTCCCTAAATCTAGCCTTATTTTAGAAGTAACTGCTAATTAGGAAGGCCTGCAGTATTAACGTTCTGCAGAGAAATTTTATTTGTTAGAACTAGATGAGGGCTGGGCATGGTGTCTCATACCTGTAATCCTTGCACTTTGGGAGGTTGAAGTCGGAGGATAGCTTGAGCCTAGGAGTTTGAGATCAGCTTTGGCAACATGGCAGTACCCCAAATCTACAAAAAATACAAAAATTAACCAGGCGTGGTGGCATGCGCCTGTAACCCCAGTTCCCTGGGAGCCCGAGGTGGGAGGATCACCTGAACCTGGGGAGGTCGAGGCTGCAGTGAGCTGTGATTGTACCACTGTACTCCAGCCTGGGCAACAGAGTGAGACCATGTCTGAAGAAAAATAATGGAATCGGGATCATGTAATACTGTGTTTTTATATTAGTCTAATAACATAAGAGAATAATATTTAGCACACGTATTTCTCAGGATTCATTTTAACATCTCTAAATAAAAAGTTGTCTGTTGACATGTTCAGGATTTACAGTTTCTGTTGAACTTAGATCCTTTTAGTTAAAATATTGTTTTCAACTTAATTACTGTATATTCATAAAGGTAGAACAATTTTAAGGTGTATAAATAAACTTTTACATATCATAATAAAAGAGTAAGTAGTACCAGATTAATTAAATACGTGTGGGCATCACAAGCAGGTATTCACATCTCTTTAGGAAGATGTAAAATTTGTGATTTTAAATAATGTAACCTTATCTTAAAATCTTTTTTTTTTGTTATAGGACTCTGTTAACCACTTGGGCAGGCATTATATTTATTCTAAGAATACTAGTATAGCTCAAAATATTTTAGCAAAGTAATCTCTTCAGAAATTACCTTTGGAAACTTCTGACAGGGTTTTTTTGTATATTTGATCACAGTTATAACTTGTTTAAGGATTGGTTTAATATTTAAAAACAACTAAAGCCATTGAGGAGTAAATCTGATATACTGGGTATACCTTGTAAGACTGATTTTCTTGTGTGATTCAGTAACATAAGGGTGAGCTATTATCAAAGAAATTGAGATAGAAAAATTCAGTACAACCTGAGGTGGAAGGTAATATGTGTTATAACTAATGATTGTAAAATTTGGCTATAGGACTAACATCATCAATATGTTGGAGTAGGTAGTTTCAGGCCCTTATTCCTTCATGGAAACACCAGTTAATTTCAATATAATGACAAGGACATGTTAGTGAGAATTGTAGAGACCAATTGAGAAGCTGCAGCACTCAGGCTAAAACATTAAAAAGAAGGGACTCCTTCAGAAGGAGTGGAAAAGTTTGTGGCATTTTGCATGTGTGTTCCCCTCCCAGTATAGTGCAGTGCAACCAGGAGGAAATTTCCTATCCCCTGCCTTCTCCCTTGGGACAAAAATGAAATAATGGACTGCATGTTCAATATTTTGGCTTATCCAAAGTCTGCCCACAGGATTGGTTTGCATCTCATCTCACTCAGTGCTGAAGGGAATGGTAGCATATTGGGGAAACCCCCACCCCCAATATTCAATGTGGGTTCTTTTCTATTTCCCTAAGCGTCAGCTGGTCTGACGAAATAAAGGGAAAGAGTACAAAAGAGAAATTTTAAAGCTAAGTGTCCAGGGAAGCCATCACATGTCGGCAGGTTCCATGATGCTCCCTGAGCCGTAAAACCAGCAAGTTTTTATCAGCGATTTTCAAAAGGGGAGGGAGTGCACGAATAAGGGTGTGGGTCACAGAGATCACATGCTTCACAAGGTAATAAAATATCACGAAGCAAATGGAGGCAGGGCTAGATCACAGGACCACAGGACGGGGCGAAATTAAAATTGCTAATGAAGTTTCGGGCACGCATTTTCATTGATAACTTATCAGGAGACAGGGTTTGAGAGCAGACAACCAGTCTGAGCAAAATTTATTAGGCGGGAATTTCCTCATCCTAATAAGCCTGGGAGCACTACAGGAGACCGGGGCTTATTTCATCCCTTCATCTTCGACCGTAAAAGACAGCCGCCCCCAAAGCGGCCATTTCAGAGGCCTACCCTCAGGGGCCATTCTCTTTCTCAGGGATGTTCCTGACTGAGAAAAAGAATTCAGCGATATTTCTCCTCTTTGCTTTTGAAAGAAGAGAAATATGGCTCTGTTCTGCCCGGCTCACCGGCAGTCAGAGTTGAAGGTTAGCTCCCTTGTTCCCTGAACATTGCTGTTATCCTTTTCTTTTTTCAAGGTGCCCAGATTTCATATTGTTGAAACACACATGCTCTACAAACAATTTGTGCAGTTAACGCAATCATCACAGGGTCCTGAGGCAACATACATCCTCCTCAGCTTACAAAAGAGATGATGGGATTAAGAGATTAAAGACAGGTATAGGAAATCACAAGGGTATTGATTGGGGAAGTGATAGGTGTCACTTCACAATTGTGAAATCTTCACAATTTATGTTCAGAGATTGCAGTAAAGATAGCCATAAGAAATTATAAAAGTATTAATTTGGGAACTAATAAATATCTATGAAATCTTCACTATGGCTTTATGTTCTGCCATGGCTTCAGCCAGTCCCTCGGTTCAGGGTCCCTGCCTTCCCGCACCAGTAGCATAGTTTGGAAGCTGCAGGAAACAGAAGTGATTGCTGCAGCACATAAGAGCTGCAGAGATCTGCACTTCTGCTGGGAGAAGTCTGAGGGACACAGAGATTAATGGGTTTCTGCGAGGAAACAGCAATAAGTTGCTAGGAAAATTAAGACTGTCAAAAACACACATAGAAGCCCAGAGAAGACACATGTCTCAGAAAAATTTGGGTGGTCCTAAAACCTCTAACTGGGCTGATTCGTGAAA